CTGTAGTACTTTTACATTCTTGTTATATAGAGAACTAAAATAGAAAGGAACTGCGATTGAGGATATACATTTTTAAACTACAACGTCACAAGCGGAAGTATTTCTTCTCATATACAACTCTACTGCTACACTGTATTTTAAACAATATTAATAGTTTATATTTATCACGTACAAATTTAGTCTCTTGCTTTGATCTCATCTCTTCTCACCCCTACTTTTAAGTTTACTTCATTTGGAAAATATTACTCAAATATTTTATTTTTGCAGATTTTATTTGGTTGTGTAATGGAGAATAGAATCTAAATTTGTACGTGAAATACTGAAATAGGGGACCATTTGACACCTCTTCATCTGATCGTTTCTGATGCCAATATAAGGGGGGTTTGATGTTGTAGAGTGGAGATATATTAGTCACCCAAGTAATCAATTTTTCGATTCATCTCTCTTTATTTGCACACTTAGTGGAATTTAGCATCAATATTTTTGCTCATTTATCCAATAAAAATATAAAATACATTTTATTCAATTGTAATAAAATAGTTTGATTAAAATTGTGTCATTTTCTAAAAGATGTAGATCATTTTTCATATTATGGATAAATGAAAATAATACCATAGTTAGTATTACAGCAAAAAAGCTCATTTTTATGATAAAAACTCTTTTGAAATTCAGTTCTTTTTTTTTAAAAAAAAAATAATAATAATTTAGAATGAAAAAATGTATATTCTTTCGAAAAATTAGAAAAAGAATATTAAAAAAACTTTTTTCTGTGACTTTTAAAAAAATTTTTTTTTTTTTTTAAATTTAGTTTGCAAAGTTATAAAACTATTTAAGTTAGCTTTCAATCAGTTCAATATTGATCTAATAAATATTTTATCATGAATTAAAGTTTCCAAAGAAAAGAAATGTTACAGAAGTGAGGTAAATCATAAACCTTGTTATGATGTTTAAATAATGAAGCATAGTAAAGTTATCAAATAATTTGGTCTTGTTAAATCGTGAAATCGATAGAGAATAATATGAAGAGAGATAAAAGAGAAGAGCAACTGAATGATATATTGTGAATAGAACGAGTAGAATAATACTCTTTGCCGAAGAATCTATTAGATTCCAGAATAATTCATGCCGGAACCCAACCAATCCGAGGGAACGCGGGCATTTCACTGTTGCAGAAGGCGATCTCCGACTACTTGAGAGTTATGTAGAGTCTGGGATTCGCACCGAGGGTAAGAGAGTGAAGAAGGCATGGAAAAGCTGAGTAGTAGTAAGAGAACTGAGAGAGATCGAGTAAAATACTCAGTTGCCAATTTCACCTTGACACCCTACTAGCTCTGTCTTCGCAGCCAGTTCTTCTACCACTAACATACCCTCTACCTACCCTCTACGTCATTTTCTTTCTTTTTCTTTACATAAACTTCACAATCGAAAACAGGTACGATATGTTACAATATTCCCTAACTCTACCAAAAGCATTATTCCATTCTCTGCAACTCATACTCTTTCACCCTATTTCCATCTCTATCAACCTCTTTTGTTCCTCTAGGCCCTTCAACAAACTCCTATTCTCGTTTGCGCCCACTCCTCACCGTCTCTCTCAATTGTACATCTGTCTCACTCTATTCAGCACCTAACTATACCACACAGTAACACCCCAACCAAAAGATCAATACCTAACCAACTACCAAGCTGCTCCGAGATTATCATTCTGTTTGAACTACTCAAAAGCGTGTAACTGAGTGTCGCATATGCGTATTTATCGCTTTTGAATATGATCGATGAAATAGAAGAGACGATAAATTGGTAAAGAAAAAAGTTCTGTGTGTAAGTGTGATGAATAAATAAGTCTTTCATACCATCAGCTACTATTGGGTCGACTGAGATGAGCTACATAATTCTGATAAGTCCAGATGCAATATAGTCAACTTGATGGGGGAACTTCCAGACACAAAACCACATAATACAGATTAGGTTCGGTTGATTTTAGGTCAATTAGAATTTGCTTTGTACCAGATTAAATGGTTCAACAGGAAAAGATATAGATTTATTTATTTTCACAAATACCAGCCAATAATGTCAAGATATGAGTGATAGGTTAATTATGATAATTATGAGTATTCAATCAAGTTTGAAAATCTAATTTACTATGAATCCATTACAGATATAGATTTTAACTTGAGGTATTATATTGTATTGATATTGGATATAAATGTATATGAATACCGCGTATATACACAACGTCAAATTAAAGAGCAACAGGTGTCTTTAGCCTATCATTCAACGTGTTCAGTGGTAAAATCGTAACATCGCTATATAACACCTTTACGATGTCTCTTCTTTATTCTTTTCTTTCATCCTTGATCCTATTGCCTTTTCATGACAAGGGCAAAGCAATGGCATATCATGCTAGGATTAACATGAGTATCCAAAGTAATGAGTCTTAATAAAAAGGTTTTATGAGCCTTCGTATTTTTTACTTTATGCCCATCATAAAAATTACTTATAAATTACCAACGTATCATATTGTGGAATAATGAAGTTAATATTTTTAAAAGTCAGAGTTAATTACTTTACAGACATCTTCACACTTTTCACATTACCATTGATGCTTCATCTTGATTTATATTTACTTCAAGTAAAAATACGTTGATAACTGTGATGACGAATATGTAAAAAATAAATATTGATTTTAAAAATGTATCAGCATACAGAATAATTACTTTCACTTCTAGTGAAAACGCCGTATGGGGAGAGTAGAGAAGTGAGGGGTCGATAGTAAAAGGGGACGATTGCAATAATCTACATGACACAAGTGTCACCAAGCTGAGAAAAAATTTTCTTTACGTATTATTGTATACTAAAACCCTTTGAGATCATAGAAATGTTAATTATTCATAATTATTTATTACTTTTTAATACCTTAAAATTTTCTAGCTTGATATTTACTGATCAATATTTAATCAGCTTTGATATTAATTATATAACAGTTTCTGTTATGCAGGAATGAAATATGCAAAGTTAGTAAAGCTATCACAACTGACCTTCTCTGAAGTACCTCTGATATACATCAATTGTAATGCTTGACGTTATAAAATAGAAAAAAAAATGTTTAAAGTTATATAATGTTGGTCAATTATAATTCTAATGGATAGAGCCTATAATAAAAATAATAAAATGTTACCTTATAAATATTCAATATTATGTTCAAGTAAAGAGATATTCATAAAAAACCCATTTTATTATAATAGACTTTTTTTCAAGCTGCTCTAAAATTTTTTCAATTCTTATTTCTATGTTCAACTATGATTATTGGTAACTACGGAAGCAAAAATATTTAAAATATATATACATTGTCCGACTTCTAAGACAAGTATTTCAAGCATTCATGAATGCAAAAGCTAGTTTATCATAAAAAATTACCATTTAGATTTTTAAATAGTTGAAGACATTTTTAATTTGAAATTAACGAAGATTGTATAACATGTTAATTTAACCATCAAGCGATTATTAATGATGATCAATACTAATTATTATGCATCTATTCATCCAGAATTAGGACTATAAAAGCCAGTTTTTGAACATGTACGCATGGAGAATAGATTAGTAAAAAAATTAGCAAACCAGATGACTGATAACAATAAACTCAATGTTTAAAAGGTTAAGCTGATCGTGCTAAGATTTTGATTTAATTAAAATATTCAAAGTATTATCACTTACTTGATGTGGTTGACGTCAGAGGGTATTCGCCCCCTCACTGCTAAGAATACTTTCCCATACTCCTTAGGGTATTCTTCGTGTCATCTGCGTCTTTTTCATTTTCTTAGAATTCCAAAAATGTCCATCGTCCTTCACTATCTACAGTCATGGTATTCCTGCTGATGCTAATCAATAAATAAGGTCTATCGATGGTTCTGGAGTGTAAATAACGTCCATTAGTATCCACATTTCACACAGCATCAAGACAAAAGGTCGATAGTTGTATCACCCAAGCTTTATTGAATAAAAAAGCTGCCATGAAAATAAAGGATGAATTTTTTTGTAGATGTTTTTGGTGACAGTAGGATAGAAAAAATATTGTGTGAAGTTAGGAAAGTAATGTCCAGCTAACACCATAAATAGCTAACGAAGTTTTTGGTAATAATTATCAGTGGGTAGCTAGCTCCAGAGAGAGCACATGGAGACACCTACACAGAACAAGTTCGCAGCGTCTGTATGTGGTTTTATCTCACGGTACTCGGGGATGTTGCGGGTTGATTTATCGCCTGGCGTTGCCATAGTAACCACAGCGTGACGGGCTTGTGCGACACCCTCATATCCGAGTCGACTCTTTGCTTTGCAATATCCCTTCCCTCTCTTTACACTACTATTCCATCTCCTGTTTCTCTAACTTCACTTGATCCCTCCACGACTCTACTACTATACTACTACACGACTGCGACAATCCGCATTTCTCCATCTTTGCTTTTCCATTTTTCCTTTTCCTGCACTTCGTCCCGCTTCCTTCCATGTCTCAGCACCTTTTTTTCTCTCATTTCAACATTAATTCAGTCTCACCTCACAATTTTGCGAGCTCTTTTCTTCGTTCGATATTTATCCAACGCTAACATGACTGTGAGAAGTTTAACATTGTGCAAAAATAACCGCGAATTTCAGAAAACTTTGCAACGACTTTTTTTCGACGCGTCCTTTTTCGTATTGATATGAAGTTTACTTTAATTTTCAGTCTGACAAACTTTTTTTTGTTTTGAAGTTTAGGTGAAGTTGCGCATATATTTTCGATATCGAAAATCGATAGAAAATTTATTAAATTGAAATTGGCAGTAATTGTTATTTTAACCAATAAGGACTTGCGTAATATTTAAAAGGGATAGGGCAGAAAAGAATGAAAGAGGCTAGATTTTGGTATTGCTGATTGTATTGATCGGCCTGAGTTGAGTGGGAGAACGGGATTGATGATGATGTAGTACAGTAGTATGAGCGTTAGGGAGAGATTGTATATTAGATTTTACGTTCTATAGTTATTGTACTTCAAAGAAATTTTACATTATTCAAATCAATAATATGTTTTAGTCTGTCATCTGTGAACCCATTAGGCATTCATTACCCACAATTATTTTATTTACTCATTTATTTACAATCTTCACAAAGCGTTAATGATGAAATAGACCCTCAATTCAAAATATTATGGCTATGTACAATAGGAAACTTGTAGAAATATGTGAGGTATAAATATACTGTCAAAATCAGAAATTTAAGAAACTGTAAAATATTAAATATGAAATAAGATAATTTAATTGTGTATCTGTTGATTATGTTATATAAAATCTTTGAATAACTGAATGTTGATTGTATCGTAAAAATTAAATTAAAAAAAATGGTTCATTTGATTAAAAGTAAATTAAAATAAGACTATTCTATTAAATTTGCATTGGAAAATTTGTCAAATCTAACGTTAAAACTTTACTTTCCAAGCAACTGCCCACTTCTGGACATATACCAATAAGAGCATCAGCATGACAATAGAATTCTTCCTTGAGTGAAATAACAATTGTCTGTAGTGAACTCGTTTTGTCTCTAATATAACTCGCAACTTTTCCAATATTTGTGTTGTCCAAAGCAGCATCAATCTCATCCAAAACGAAAAATGGTGCTGGTTGGAAGCTATGAATAGCAAAGAGAAGAGCTAAAGCTGCTACAGTTTTCTCTCCACCAGAAAGATTAGACATTGGCTGGAATCGTTTGCCTGGAGCAACGCAGTTGTAGTTGATGCCGTCAAGATATGGTTCTTCTGGATTTTCTGGACCAAGAAAAGCTTGGGCTGATTGATTTTTAGCAAGGCTTTTATAAATTGGATCAATTTTATTAGCAACGTGTTCTAAACAAGCCATAAACTTATCGTGCCTCTCTTTTTTTACTTTTTCAAACATAGTTTTGGCCTTCTTTGCTTTCTTACGTGATTGTTCGAATTCTTCATTTGTTTCTTGGAGCTTTTCTTTTGCAAGATACAGCTTTTGAATAGCTTTCATATTAGGTGCTTGAATTTTTTGGATTTTATTTTGAAGATCATGAATTTCTGATGTGAGTTTATCTGAACATTTTTTAAATTCATCATCTTCAATGTCTTTAAAATTTTCATGTAAAGAAGAATAATCTATAGTGATACGACTTTCACGTTCATACTGCTGTTGAGTACTGATTGTTGTATCGTTATTTGTATCATTATTACCGTCACCAGCGATATCTTCCATATTACCATGAATCATAGGAATAGTAATATCTTCCAATTTACAATGCATCAAAATTGCATGTCTTTCCGCTTTTCTCTGTTCAATTTTTGTTTCAAAAGAATTTAATTGTTTTTGCACAGCTTGTAAATCTTTAGCAATAGCTCCAACTTCACGTCTACACTTGCCAATGTCTTCTTCTTTGTGATCTACTTCTAATTTTTTATTACTTCTCTCAGATTTCAGACGGTCCATTTGTGCTTCATCATTATCAATTTCTGCCTTTTGATTTGCCTCAGTTTGTCGAGCTGATTCCAGTTTATCTTCAGCATCTTGAACAGCTCGCTCCCATCGTAAAACATTACTTTCTGTGTCACGTTGCTTTTCAAAGTCTAACTGATTGTAAATACGATTGCATTGATTTTCAAACTCCATGCGTTTCTTTGCTCTTTCTTGCTGTGATCTCAACTCCCTTTCTTCATATTGACGAATATTTGACACACCTATCTGTTCACAAAAGCTAGCAAATACATCATCCTCAACATTATTCATTTTTTCCTTAATATTTTGAATCTCTTGATCTCGATCGGCCATCGTTTTTTCAATTGCAGCAATAGTTGGTGCAAATTTATCTAATTCTGCTTGTAAATTTTCTAATTCAGCGTCTAATTCTGCAATTTGTTTTTTGGTTGTAACCAAGTCATTTTTGTTATATTTCAGACGTGTTTCTAATCCACGAATTTGCGATTCAATCGTATTGAGTTCAGACTCTTTACGAGACTTCTTCAGACATTCTCTTAATTCTTCTGTTAATTTTTCTTTTTGTGCTTTTAGTTGAGCCATTTGCTTCTCATCCCACCGCTTGGCTTTCTTAGCGAGATCCAAACTTCCACCAGAAATTATACCAGCTTTTTGATAGAAAGTACCATCAAGAGCGACACAATCATAACGGGTCTTTTTGTCCAACTCATAGGCCACTTTATTAGCATCTTCTGGTGTCTCACAAACAAGTGCGTTGTTGGTAGCGAACAAAACTGCTCTGTCAATGTCTTTTGGTGAAAAATGTAGAACATCGTAAAGTAACTTTACATTTTTGGGCTCTTTAATATTACGGAGACGTTCTTTAAGTGGTTTAGCTTGAATGTAGTCCAAAGGTAAAAATGTTTCAGGTTCAAGATACTGCTCTTTGAGGTACTGAATACATTGCCGCGCAGTTTTCTCTGTATCTACGACTATTGCTTCCATGTATTTACCCAGAACTTTCGTAACAGCAACGTTATATCTTTTATGAATTGGTTCGCACATATTATACATTCGGTCATAAACTCCAGGGAAGAGTCTCTTGAAATTTTCTACTATTTCTGTCTTCTTTTTAGTCCTCGCTACTTCATGTTTATCAACCTTTGCATCACCCAGTTGCTCAGAAATATTTTCCAGTTCCCTTTGAAGTCGCTGGACGGTATCTTTCGATGATCCCACATCCATTTGTAAATCTGCACGAAGTTTCTTTTGGTCCTCAAGAGCAGCTTCAGATGTCTTAATGTGTTCTTCAAGCTTTTCAATCCTTTTCAAAGCCTCATCTCTCATGTGTCCTTTCTGTTTCAATTTATTTTCAATTTCTGTCTTCTTTCTACTCTCATTATCAAGTCTATCTTGATCGGACTTCTGTTCACGATTGATTGAATCTAACATTTGCAAATAACGAGCAGATTGTTTACCGGCTTCTTCTTTTAAACGGTTGTATTCACTGACTTGTTCATCTTCTAACTGTACATCTCGACCTTGCTGCTGAGATTGGCCGGCAATACTTGCTTCATAAGCAGCTTTGGCTTCCTCAACTTGTTTTAACTCTTCTTGGAGTTCATTTATATCTTTTTTATGGGCTTCATCGGCAGCTCGAGCTTGTGCTAATGATTTGTGAGCTGATTCAACCTTTTTCTGCATATGAGCAACACGTTCCTTTGCTTTGATAAACGTTGGTCTCTTCTTCGTTATTTCTACTTCAACTTCTCTAATATCCTGTTCAATTTTAGCTAAATCTCTTGCCAATTTTCCAACTTCTTTTTTGTGTTCTTTTAATATTTCTTCAGCTTTTTCTTTCTTTTTCTCTATTTTTTCTAATTCATGTTGCTTCTTTTTTTGACTATTTTCCAAATTTTCAATATCTTTTTCATTATGATAGAGTCGAAAAAGTTGGTATTCTATTTGTTTCTCAACATATTCCTCCTTTAAACGTTGATACTTTTCAGCCTCTTCTTTTTCTAATTTAGCTTCTTTACGTTCAGCTGCTATACCTTTCTTTTTTTGATATGAAAACTGCGTCTCTTCTTCAGCCCGCAACATTTCTGCTCGAAGTCTTTCATATTCTGCCTTTAAAGATCCTGAATTACTAATTTCTTCAAACAAGGCTGTTCTTTCTTTAGGATTCTTCATAGCAATTGACTCAACTGCACCTTGGAAAACTAAAAAGTTTTTAGCCTTTACATTTATTCCTAATTGTTCCAGCTCTGTCAAATAAACTTGACTTGTAACCATCTGTAAAATAATTATATAATTGAATATAATCAAAATATTTTTAATTGAAAATAACATTAAATCAATGAAATATTAATACTCATAACGTTTGAAAGAAGATGATTATAATCTTGATTAAATACTATTTTTTAGTATTATAATTGATTATTTCAACTATCTCATACTTTATTTATTGTCTATTTATCACGTGAATCAAAATATTGTAAAATAAATTGAAATGAAACTTACAGAGCCATTTATTCTATGTTCTGAAGATGATCCCTGGACAGTTCGCATAAAACTTTTTTCAGTTCCATCTTCAAGTTCAAAAACAGCAGTTACTGATGCACTTCGTGCTACAGGTTTCCCAATAGACGCTCCATGAATAAGTTCACTGAATCGTTTGACACGTAAACTACTGGTTTTTTCGCCCATAACAAAACTAATGGCATCCATAAAATTTGATTTCCCTAGAATTTTTAATGAAATAGAGAAAACAATAAAAAATATTATATAAAAATTATCAAAACATTTTATCGAAAAATTAAAAAAGACGCGTAGGTTTTTGGAGAAACTAACCTGATCCATTTGGTCCCACAACTGCAGTAAATGACTTTAATGGACCGATCAAAAGTTTTCCTTTATATGATTTAAAATTTTCTACTTCAATATGCTTAAGAAAGGCCGGCATATTGAGGCCGTAAATAAACAGAGTAGTAATTTATCACAAATCAAAGAAAAATTGGCGCCACAACGTTTTTAACAACTCTAAAACGGACATTTGTTTTGGAACTCTTCAACTAACGGGTGTTCAAAATCAATTTGTGCAATAGGTTTACTAACACGACGATATCAAAAGTCTCTAGAAAATAATTTTTTTATGATTTCGTTACGAAAAATGAATGAGTTATTACAAATTTAGGTAAAAAACGGTTCAAATGTACAAATAGATCAAAAAAATAATTTAAAACGTCATCAAAAATTTTAAATCAGCATTTAGTAACTTTTTTTTTATTTCCAACCATTTTTTCTCAGAATATAGAGGATGTAAAATTATACATGATGTATTTATATATACATACATATTATAATAATAAAAAAAGGATTTAAATATTGTTAACATAAAATAATTTATAAATGATATTGAAAATTTGTAATAATTAAAAATTTGAGTTACAAAAAAATAATGTTGAAGAAATCGACAATTGCGCCACCTATCGTTGACTAAAGTGAGCACTAGATTCAAATAAAAGCACCCGGTATAATTTTGCAGCGAATTACGCGTGGAAAATTAAAAATAAAAGTCCGTATTAGTTGATTAAGAATTATTTAAATAATTATGGCATGTATTGCTTTACCAGTTGTTGCGAAACTTGGAAAATTATCTATTGAAAATTTTTATCATGGTTCGAGAACAGTAATAAGGTAATTTCTAATTCTTTTCCAACGAAATCATGATGCAGAGAAGGCTTTTAAATTGAGGTTATAATTAAAATGAATGAACGTTTTCTTTCCTTTTTCTATTTAATAATATGTAAATAGTAACATACAGCACTGGTGTTTTTTAATAGTTCAAAAATTATTAATAAAAAAAAATTAAGATGATGTAATAATATCACTGATTACATGTAGTACTTGTTTTTTTCATACCTATAAAAATCTTATAAAATTTCTTTTCAGAAATTCTCGGGTAGCTTGGAATTATCATTATCAATCACATAAATACACAACAGCACCAGAAGAAAAGAAATCAGATGCAGAATCCCCAGAATTAACAGAAAATGAAAAAAAATTCAAAGCTGAAATTGAACTTCTCAATAAAGAGATAGTAACTTTGAAAGAAAAAAACAGCGAGTTAGATGATAAGTATAAGAGAGCATTAGCTGATGGAGAAAATTTACGTGTACGATTAACAAAACAAATCGAAGATGCTAAGCTTTTTGGTATTCAAGGATTTTGTAAAGATTTATTAGATGTCGCCGATATTTTAGGAAAAGCAACAGAAAGTGTACCAAAAGATCAATTAACTGCAAATAACCCTCATTTAAAATCACTATACGAAGGTTTAAGGATGACTGAAGCTCAATTACATAAAGTAAATAAAATTGCATATTAAGTACTAAATGTTCTGTAGAAAAAAATACAAAAAACTTAATTTTATTTAGGTATTTAAGAAGCATGGACTTGCATCTGTCAATCCATTGGATGAGAAATTCAATCCCAACGAACATGAAGCATTATTCCAACAGGTTCATAAGTAGTTTTATTTCAATGATACACTTAAATAACGATATTTCAATTATACAAAAAATAGATATCTAATTTTTTCAGGAGGTTGAGGGGAAAAAACCGGGAACCGTTGTAGTTGTATCAAAAGTTGGATACAAATTACATGAGCGAATAATAAGACCAGCACTCGTTGGTGTAGCTAAGGGTTGATTTTTATTTTCTAAAAATTATATCAAAATAAATTGCTTTTTATTTTAATAAATTAAGTATATATTTCGTTGTCACTTGAGTTATTAAATAAAAGGACAATTGTAAGTAGAAAAAACATAAAAAAAATTTTATTCAACACAAATAAAAAAATTAATCTCATAAATAACCAATAATTTTAACATATTCTATTTTAGCATCTTTCAAAAAGTTTGTACAAGTCAGGTAAACTCGCAATTCGTAGAATTGTTGAATCTTGAGCAAAATGTTTCGGAGGTAGTAGACTTTCTTTAATCGTTGCATAAAGAACGTATTCTGTAAGATGTCTCCAATCATAATGTTCACTATTTACATTAATATGACTGAATAATTTTGCAGTCTCACGGCAGATTCCATCAAAACAAGGCTTTTCTTCATCCCAATTTACTTCGGTAGCCATTCGTAGAATATAAAGTGGTAAATCAACTTCTGATGGATAATAATTTTCTAGTAGCATTGGAAGAGATTTAATATAACCATTTTTTGTGATTACTATAGAAAAATATTCTTTGAGCATTTCTGCTTTTTCTGTAAGCAAATCTCTAACATCTTCTGCAATTTCTTTTTTTGGTCTTTCACTTTCAGTCCAACCAGCTTCTTCTAACTCCAATCCCAAAAGTGATAATTCTGTTATTGATAAAGGCTCTGAAAATTTTAAAACACCATAATTTGCAAAATCATAGAGCATTATTTCATAAAATAATTCTTCAGCAAGTTTTTTTGTGTTGCAGATATAAAGATTAACGTCACTTTGAATTAATGCAAATGCTGGGTCAACACAAGCGATGAATTTCGATTCATTCAGAAGTTTTCGCAAGCCTTCATGATAAGTATCTTCTACTGACTTTCTTAATTGAAGGATGCTCGTTATATGAACTTCTCTGCGGAAATTATTTATTGAGTATGATTTAAATTCAGGTACTGATTTTTCGTCATTCTCTTTATCTTTTTCGGAACTCTTTTTTTGACCAGCTTCTGAATTATTCATTTCATTTTCTGTAGAAAGCTTTATTTTTTTATTTCCAGAATTTTCTGCTTGATGATCATCAGAGCTTTGTTTTTGATTTTCCTGATGATTTTCTGGACTGTTGTGAGAATTTTGATCTGCTGTTTTTTTAGAGTCAGGTTGAGATCCAAATAAACGTAATACAGTTTTCATTGCTCTTTCAGCTGGTTTAGACATTGGAATTGGATCTGAAGGCAGCTCTGAAGAACTATCATCACTTACAAATAAATCAATTACTGAATCAGGAATCAAAGGATTTTCGACTTGTTGTTGATCATTTTCTAAACGTTGTTCTACTTGAGTTGAAGTAACAAAATTCTGAGAATTGATTTGTAAATTATCATCAATTGATTTAAGTCCAGAATCATCAACATTACTTTCTTCTTGGTCATTTTGTGGTGTTTCTTCCGGTTTTTCTATTGTAATTTCTTCTCTTTTTTTTACGTTCGTTTCATCTAAGTTCATTTCCTCTCTCAAGTTATCACTTAAACTTTCATTTACTGTACTATCTGTATTTTCTTTATTTACACTTTGTTCAGCCACACTATGAGTCTCATTAGACTGATTACTTGGTTTAGCATTAATCGTGAAATTAAATTTGGCAAGTTTTTGCTCTTTATGATCAATTCTAACCAAATTTTTAGCATAAACTTTTTTATCTTTATCTTTCTCTTTATCGTCATATTCTGGTATAACTTCAGCCAAAACTTCCTTTGGAAGATCGACTTCTGGAAGCTTCGTTTGAACATAAAAAGTTCTGCATGCGTTGCTGTGAGTCAACTTATCATCCAAAGCAACTCTAATTTTATCAATAATTTTATGTTCATGAATAAATCTCACTTCAGACTTGGTTGGATGAATATTGACATCGACATTCTGTGGATCAATTTTTAAGGACATATAAACCCAAGGAAAGTTTCGTTTTGGCAAATAAATAGAATATATATCCTCTAGCATTTTTTTAATTAAACTATTGTCGACTAATCTATTGTTAATAAATAACAAAAGCGACCATTTTTTAGTGTAATAAAAAGGATTTGATATCAAAGCTTCAACCTTAAATTTAAAATCTTTGTCCTCTAAGTTAACCTCAATCAAGTCTCTCGTTAAACCATTACCGAATAGAGACTGTATGTTATTTATCCTCGTTGCCTTGAAAGGCGTTCGAAGTACAGGAGTATTGACGCCTTGTTTCTTTAAAGTAAATCCTACTCCTGAATTATGAATTGCATACTTAAGTACAACATCATGAATTAAGGAAAATTGTTCGGTGACATTTTCCAATGCTTTTCGACGAGTAGCAACATTATAAAATAAATTTTCTATAGTAATAGTTGTTCCTTGATTGCCAGCAATAGGCTTAGGAGCTGACTTTAATTTTCCATCAATATAAGAAGCTTTGTATGCTACCTTTCCTTGAGCTGTTTTTGTGGTGATTGAAAGCTGAGATACATGACTAATACTAGCTAAAGCTTCCCCTCGAAATCCATACGTAGAAATGCCTTGAAGATCTTCAAATTTTTCCAGTTTACTTGTCGTAAATCTTTCACATACGATGTCAAGATCTTCTTTTCTAATTCCTGTTCCATTATCTTGAATCTAAAAAATATCATATATGCAATTATTTAATAATTATATTAATAAAAATTTCTAACAAATGTTGGAAAAATTAGTTATTATACTTACTTGGAGTAATTTTAAACCACCTTCTTTGACAACTATTTGAATGTCAGTTGCTTTAGCATCAAGACTACAATAAAAAATCGTTATCCAGTTACTCCAACATTAATTGATACTCTAATAAAAATAACAAATAATTGTTTAAATAGTTAACCTGTTTTCAATTAATTCTTTCAATGCATTTGCCGGTCTTTGTATGATTTCTCCAGCAGCAATGCGGTTTACCACTACCTCATCAAGTTTCTTGATTTTTGGAGGGCTTGCCATTGATGATGTATAGGTTTGATTTCCCACAATTTAATGATTACAATGTTCGTAATAAACACGATACACGTGTTATAAATACCATGAGAAAATTAGCGAAATAGAAAGTTTTGACACTACTACATCTTTGGAGAATTTCATGAACGTAACGTATTTTCTAGCTCAACACATACATGTAGATCTTCACTGCACATGCGTTTATGTACATCTTATATCTCTCTCTTTCTCTTATGTAGGTTCTCTCTAGTCGGCCTGCGGTAAAACATTTCTTCGGCTTTCTGAAATCACACAGTACAGTTGAGTAGAGATCAGTAGTCCAACCTGTATATCAATTTCTTGGTTTAAGTTTCAGTGCTTAGATCATGAATAATTTTTTGGTGTCATGATTTCAGAGGGTATGTGAAAAATTCTAACAAATGTTACAAAATATTACAGAACCTTCAAACTAATAATTACCCAATGAAACTATTAATAATGGTTTTTATCTCAACTTTTTCAATGCTATTTCACACTTTCATCAAGCATGCAAGGAAATACACAGCAATTAGATCTATCACGCATTTATTATCTTATAAAAAATGTATTTATAATTATCTGAACACGAGACAAGTGTTAATTATTATTATTTCATTGCTGAATCTTTCAAATACGTATTTAGAAATGTTTAAAAAAAATATTAAATATCATAATTACACTACATGGAATAAAATGTAAACAGGCTTTGAATGTAATTTGAAATAGTTTATTTCCTATTAAGGTTTTATTGTGTTGTTGTTGTCTTATTTTCTCTTTGTTTTCCTGTATTTTTTCATGCATATATACTTATTCTCTTTCTCTCTCTTACATATATACATTTAACTACCTTTCTCGTCAGAGTCGGCCATTACTTTTCGCGTCTTTCCACGAGCTGTTCAGATGTGTTCACTGTTCTCACAATTTTCTATTTAAATGAAAAATTTTGTTAGGCTTTTAAACAAAAGATGAATTAGTTTTAATGTCGTTATAAAATACAAAGAGTTCTAATTAACTTTTAAAGTATTAAAATTAAAATTAATTATTTTAAAAAGATTTAATTCAACTGTTTACGCCCATTTCACATGTCTCGTGTTTTTATTATTATAATCAGTATGTAAAGATTTAATGTTTGTACAATTTTACAGTAATTATTAATAATTAAGATGATGGCAATTTTTTTTTCTGTTGTAGAACGTATTGAAATACAAGAGACAATACGAACATTGATGAGGAATTGATCGAATAATTAGGTTGTTATTCATTTAATAATTTACCTGTACAACGTGGCTATACAAGCAAGACTGATAATTAATCTGTTGGTATAAACGTGAATTCATGTATTAAAAGTTGACATTGAATGGCAAAGTAATCATCCGTAGTGGTGATTGATAAACCGTTCACAAATATTCAAAATATCTCGGGGTTACGCGTTTAGAACGCGGTGCCCCATTGGGCGCAGATGGGAGCTGGTTTGTTGAAATCAGACTGGGTTGTAAAGCCCAGAGTTGGAAAACAGTTTTCAAAGTTACAAAAGAAAACAAAGTGTATTCGTGATCTATTCATATACTCAGGAACGCTCGTCCTAACTATTAAGCCGTTGAAGTTTAATCAAGCTGGAATTGATGGAGTTAGAGAACATTGTAGCAAACACCGTTTATCTCAAAGCACGAGAAGGTATTTTTACAGTTTTTAATAAGTGTATTATTTTCATAATTTAATATTAATTTAACTTTTAATGACTTAATTGCAGGTGGTGGTGACAGTAATAAAGGTAAAAGCAAAAAATGGCGCAAAATACTCCAACTTCCACACATATCCCAATGCCTCCAGCTTCAAAACAAACTTAGTGAGTATTGCATTACTTGTATGAAATATTTTTTTCTAAAAAACAAAATCATGAATAATTCAATCCATTAAGAGATTAATTTTTTATTAGTAGTCATAAAGTTCAAAATGAAAATATTGTGTTGAAAATATCTATTGACGAAATGAATTATTTTAGAAGATTGTCCAACGTCTAATAAATATTTATCGCTAAATTACTTTACTGAATAAAAAAAAATTTTGTTATTATTTAGAATAATTTGATAATTGTGTTGGTTTATTTCTAGCCATACAGTATGATTATATCGTGGATAAGCAACCTATTGGTCGATTGTTATTTAGACAATTTTGTGAAGATCTTAGACCGGCATACCATCGTTATAATCTTCTACTGGATGCAATTGAAAAATATGAAGTTGAACTAGATGAAAATAGAGTAGAGCTAGCCAAAGATTTATTTGATCAGTATTTGAAACATGAAGACTCCGAAGACACTGACATTCTCACTGATTCCCTTATATCTGAATGTGAAGAACGACTTAATTCTGGTGGAAGAGATTTATTTGTACAGATTTCTGAAACAGTAAAAAATTTTCTCGCTGGTGGACCTTTCAAGGAGTTTCGTTCAAGTTTATACTTTTGCAGGTTTGTAATAAAAAATCATAACATTCATTAAGTCAAAGAAACTTGTATATTATTTTTTTAACTAAGACCAAAATTAAATTATATTGTAAAAAATAGGTATTTGCAATGGAAATGGTTAGAGAAGCAACCAATCACCTACAAGACCTTCAGAATGTACAGGGTTCTAGGAAAAGGTGGCTTTGGAGAAGTTTGCGCTTGCCAAGTACGTGCCACAGGAAAAATGTACGCTTGCAAGAAGCTAGAAAAAAAACGAATAAAAAAGAGAAAAGGAGAATCAATGGTATTAATCGAGAAGAAATTTTTACAAAGAATCAATTCAAGGTTTGTGGTATCTCTTGCCTATGCTTACGAAACAAAAGATGCTCTTTGTCTAGTTTTAACAATTATGAATGGAGGCGACTTAAAGTTTCATATTTATAACATGGGTGGAGAACCTGGCTTTGACATTAATCGTGCACGATTTTATGCTGCGGAAGTAGTTTGTGGGTTAGAGCATCTCCACCACCGAAAAATAGTCTATAGAGATTGTAAGCCAGAAAATATTCTTCTTGATGATTATGGACATGTTAGACTATCAGATTTGGGGTTAGCTGTTGAAATAACTCGTGAAATCGGGACACAAGGACGAGTAGGAACTGTTGGTTATATGGCACCAGAAGTAATTGACAATGAGTATTACCTATATTCTCCAGACTGGTTCAGCTTTGGCTGCCTTGTTTATGAAATGATTGAAGGACGAGCACCGTTTAGGGCACGAAAAGAAAAAGTAGAACGTGAAGAAGTTGATAGAAGAGTGAAAGAAGATCAAGAAACCTATTCACCTAAATTCACAGAAGAGGCCAAAAATTTGTGTCAACAACTATTGAAAAAAGATCCAAAACAGAGATTAGGATGTCAGACTGGCATTAATGGAGCTGATGAGATCAAAGTTGACAGCTTTTTTCAATGCGTAGATTGGACAAGAGTTGCTGCTGGAATGTGGGAACCACCATTTGTTCCAGATGTAAGTTTTGAAACTTTATTTTGTTTTATGTCGTAACATCATTTTTTATAAAAAAAAGCAAAATAAATATCAATAAAATTATTTATTTTCCATCAAAAAAAATTAAGAAAAATGGATTATTAATGTAAATTTATATTTTTAGCCTCATGCAATCTACGCAAAAGATGTCTTAGATATTGAACAATTTTCAACTGTAAAAGATGTGACCATAGATGCAACTGATAACTCATTTTACAGTGAATTCAGTACCGGGAGTGTTTCAATTCCATGGCAAAATGAGGTAATAGCACACAATGAGCATTAAACAATAATGTTGATGCTCATTGATGATAACATGAAGATAAGAGAAGAGTTATAGAAATTTCAATAAAAACATGGAAATTTATTTGAGTTGAAATGTACTCTATTTTTACAGATGATTGAGACTGAATGTTTTAAAGAGCTAAGTGCCCTCGGACCACATGGTTCTCCAACGCCTGATTTAGTGATATATCATCCTGTACCGATTGAAGAAAGTCGTGGATGTTTTCCATTCAGAAGAAAGAAGAAACCAAACGCCCGGGCACGACAAGTATCCATTACTGAGGCTAATCTTCGTGAATTTTCGTTCCTAATTCCACCTACCGTGACACCTCCTGATAGCTGATCTACGGTGAGCAAAATAACTTTAAATATATCGGCTAAAGAATTAGAGCACTCTTTACGATGTTGCCTCTAATATTAAAATTTTAACTAAAGAACTACCATGTGAATCACGTAAACTCACTTCTATCACCATTCACATTTTCAATTGCGTGAAATACAAGGCTGTGAAAACAGTTAAATTGCGCGAGCTTTATTGTGTAACAACACTTTTGGAAAGAACAAAAACGCACAGATAAAGGGTGCACAAACTTTTCTAAATCTATCTTTATTTGGCTGTTGAAAGACTTGCAGAATTTTGTATAACTTTTTTTTCTTTCACGTATATTAATTATTCAATCGTGAATGTTGTTAATAATAACGATAATAATAGACATTTTTTTTAGAAAATTAATTCATTAAGTCTAAGTATACAATGAAAATTTTTTAAACGAATATTCTCATAAGACTAATAAATGACGATGGAAGAAAAAATTATTTTCTTTTTTTTTTTAACATAGATATTCGTAATTAATATCAAAAATTAAAAAAAGTAAAATATTTCATCTTTTGCTTTATTGAAAATAATTTTTTCTTTCGGAAAATACGAACAAAAAGCTCAATATAATATTTATTAATAGGATGAATATAAGTACCTATAATTATAAAACATCAGTAAGTCATCAAATTTACAGGGCATTGAGATAAAAGGAATATTTTGCCATTTTTAGCCATTTAATTTGTTAATATTATTACACATAATTGTTTAATGTATATTTTTAGATAATGTTATTAATAATAGATGTATTATATTTCTAGTATTATTACAATTATTAATAATTTATAAATGATATTTTTATTAGCAATTAATAATCATTCCACTTGTTGAGATAGTTAATTTTTTCGTCTATTATTATCATTATTATTTAGTAAAAAAACAATACATTTTTTTATGAACTGACAGTATATGACTGACAAGCTCTGTAGAAATATTCTCATTTTTTACATATTCAAGTACAATAATATGTCGATTATTTAATAGTAATTAATAATAAATATTCAAATATTATTTATACGTAACAAATAGGTATTGAAATGAATGATATAAAAAGGGTACAGATTGTGACGCTGAAATTCAAGAGAATAGACAAAAATTAAAGAAATAATGACGGCAAACCGTGTAATTCTTCGACCGTCCTTCATTTAATAAGTTTAATAATTACATAAGAGGAAACTAATAAATAAAATAATTAAACTACTATGAAATAAGATATGGTAAATAATCATATAAAAGTACACGAATCTTATTTCAAGTAATAACATTCAAAAGTAGCGCATATTGCGGTTATTTATATAAAAAATTAACTTGAAAAAAAAATTCAATATCTGACGCCGCTCAAAAATATTATTTTTCAACAGATATAGTCTCCGTGAGACTCTTAAGTTATAATCAATGGCCTATTTGTATAATATTTTTTTATCTGTAATTTTTTAGCTTAAAAGTTTAATTTGCAATCAACTAGACAACTTGACTAGTCACAGTATGTATGTGCATACTCATATTTTGAAAATAACTCATGCGCACATGTGACCTAATATTATTCGGGAAGTGTTAATAATCGCCAACCATTCGATAATTAAAAAGTATAATTGAAATAAAATCATTTTTTATGATGCATTTAATATACTATTTTTAAATTAATGTGACAAAATGAGAGTTGCCAGAACTATTGATAAATAATTTAGGGTAAATTTTACTTGTAAAAACAACAGCTTAGTTAATCCATTCATAAAAGAAAAATGTTTATTATCAAATGAAAGAGTGGTGAATTTAATAAAAATACTTCATTAAGACTGATGAATTCATTCTTTTATAAAAAATGCACAATTCCTTGATGCTTGCCTTATATCAAGTAATTCATTTCATATAAGTAAAAATTAATTATTGTCATCAATAAAAAAAAAATGATTTCAATTGTTTATAAATCGATCAAGTGAAAAATATTCTTATGAATACAAACAAATAAGAATAACAATACATCTTAATACTCAATTTTTCTGTGTATATATATCTATATTCAATTTTTCTGCAATCATATTGCTTTGATATTCTATTATACTGTCAATGGAACAATCTAATCAAAGCACAACCTGGCAACTCTGATGAAAAATATTGAAAACTTCTAATTTTAATTAATGAATAATTTATTATGTGAATCAATTTTTGCAATATTTTTTTTCTCAAATCAAATAAATATGAATTTCGTTCCAATAAAATTAAGAATAAAATAACAGGATGAATGATTTGTATATTTATGCATTATGTTTTAAATTCATATTTTATTTTATTTTTTTTTTTACATAGTTGCTTTTTGCCAAATAAACATTAATACCAGACAATGAGGTAGTATATGTATCATAAATATTTATATTGTCATAATTTATTTATAAGTATTCACACAGTTTCTTTTTGTTAAATCTTAATAGACATCAATTTATCGCGTAGTCAGATCCTAAATTATTTTCTATGTAAAACTTAAGTATTTTTTCCTCAAAGTATAAAAAAGCGATAAGTATAATTCTAAATAATTTAATGAGTTTATGTATGGAAAAGAATATCGCATTATAAAAAATTTTCCACATATCCTAATTGAATGTTGAGTCATTAATTATTGTCACATGAGACCAGTCGTGATCATCATTAATTAATTATGCCTACTATCACGACAAACAAATAATTAAAAAAGAAACGATAATTAGAAAAATATACACACATTGTATTTAAAAAATCATTACAAGCATATGTATGTATTAATATTATGTAAAATATTCTAATATCATTCGTTTTTATCGCTCTACATCATTCAATCATCATGATTTGGACAAAAAATTTTCATAAAAAATAAGAGTAACAACAATAACGATATGTTGGATGTGGTGAATTTTCCAGAGACAATTAATAACGGTAGTAATCTAAAAAAAATTCAAATAAAAATATATACAGTAATTCACCTTTTTCATGCGTTATTTATAATTATTTATCCTGAATTTAAGTTGTTGAAATTCTTGTTGATAGTTGTATATTCTTTATTTTTGGCAGTAATTATCATTTGCTTAGTGATTGCCGATTGGACATTTTCATGAAACTGTAATTTATCAATATTTCTCTTTTCATCATGGCAAGCTGAATTTTTTACACTTGTGCAGGTTTTGCTTTACCAACAACCACCATAAGCTTCTGCATAAATTTAGTTACCCCTACTGTAACAAAAATAACTCGATTAATATTCAGATATATCAATTGTAATAGAGAAAAAAATAGTTAATTTCTTTTAAAAGAGATAGAAAATCATCATTAATTAGACTTTTAGTGCAATATTAAGCTTTGTGTGCTGTGTAGTCTGTGATAGATGCATTTAAATTAATAGATAAATTGATGAATAAATAATATAGTCAATTCAGCAAATAATTATAATAATGATGATTAAGAATAATAATAATAGAATGTAAAGTGTTGTATAAGTGAAACCTGTGATTTTGGTCCAACGACTACCATCATCTTCTGGAAATATTGAGTGACTGCGCCTATATCAATATTAAAAAAATTTAAATAAAAGAAAAAATTCTACACCTAGCTAATATTTTATTGAAATATACTCAGTGATAAATTTATTCTTTATAATTAATAAAAATATTTTATACTGAGATTGCCTTAAGTGTGAATAATTACTATTATATTCTACTTAAAATTTGTTAAAGTTTATATTTAAGTAATATTCAGCTATTATTTTAAAAAAAATCCAGACATTGAGATTGTATATTACATTAGCTAATTATTTCTATTTGGAATTAATTTAAAAATTCAGTGAGTTTCTTAGATTTTTCTTTCTCAAGTTCTTCGATTAAATTTTTTTATGAATTAATTTTGTTATTAGGAGAATAGGTTTATAACTTAACTATAATCAAATGTGCTGTAATTATTTGTAGTTGTGTTAACTAACTGACAGCAATGTTTTTTAATTATTTAAATACAATAGTGAAAATATAATTTAAAAAATAAGGATGTTTACGACAACTATGAATTTTAATGAAGAAACATTTTTAAAATAATTTTTAATTTTAACTATTCAAAAAAAATTGAAATATAAATCTAAGAATGTCATTGAATTTAATTAGAATAAACAAAATTTGATTAATGAGAGATAAAAAAAAAACATATTCTTATGCTGATTGTAAATGGACTCAGAAATTACTTAGTCACGATTACTCCGAAGTAACTTGAACTTGTGATGAACTAGAGCTGCATCAAACGAAATATTTTGCATCTCTCATTTTCAAGTTTTTTATTTGAATGATAGTGATACTAAAAATAAATAATACTAAATAAATTGTTTGTAAATACATACCAACTCCGCTTACGAAGAATTTAGGCTTCGTTTTCCAAGCAATAAAAGCAAAGTACACAGGTACCGCTGAGAAAATCATAAGACATCCGTATCCTGTTTCAACAGGACTAGCATACATTGGAACAAGTGTTACAAATAGCGTTGCCAGGATATACAATATTGGAAATATTAGATTTACTCTGATAGGCCGCGCAAGATTAGGTTGTGTATATCTTAACCATGGCACGCACAAAACTGATACTCCAATACTCAACTAATTATCAAATAACAGTCATAAGTATCTTATTTATTCTAAATATATAAATGAAATGATTAAAAAAAATTCTTACCCAGGTAGCAAAGCCAACGTAATTTATGAGCGCATTAATATTGGAACTAGCTAGATAACACATTGATAATAGTGCCTAGAATAGTAAAAGATTTATTTGTTTATTTATTACTCATTTATCTCTCAAGTTTTTTTCTTATTGTTGGAATTTCATGATATGATGGATAGTAATGTCAAAAAAATATGACTTCATCTAACAAGACAACAATTATTTTAATGAAATATCTTACCATACAAATGACTGCTGGAGCTGGCGTTAATCTTGATACTTGAATCATAGTAAGAATCTCTGGCATTTGACCCTCACAAGCGCCCGCATAAAATAATCGCGAAGATGTTAATAATATTCCATTGACTGCACCAAAAGTAGAAAGTGCTACGAAAACTGGTATTATCCATGCCATCACTCCAAAAAGACGATTGGCGAAGGTCTGCAAATTCAATTCAACTTCAGATGTCAAGTATTGGTATCTTAGTCTTATTAAAAAGAGATAAAATTGTGAGAACCCCAAGGTTATAAAGAAAATAAATTACGAACAATAAAAGTAAAATAAGAGGCAAGATAATAAGAAAATTTTTTTAACTTACAACTGCAACAGCTTCACTAGCGAGTACTTCTTTGGGGCTCAATGTCGTATAAAAAGCAGCATTGGTACATACATAAACAACGGTTACAAGAGTGCAGGATATAGCAATAGCTCTAGGCAAATTTTTAATAGGATCCTTGAGCTCTTCAATTATAAAATTCAGATAATTCCAACCATTGTAGGCGAATAGCCCAGAATAAAAACTTAGAGCTATTGAAGTTACTTCAGTTTTTGTATTATCGAAGTTGAAATGTTCAGTATGTCCTGAAATGTAAAAATAAATATGTTTTTTTTTTGATGAAGAGATACATGTACCATTAGTAGAGGCATTATTTAAATTTTGTTATGCTTGAATTGGTAGTAAGAGAATGTACATGATATTAATGGCTTCGTTATCATAGAGCTTTCACAGGATTATTAATAGGTAAATCTTTGTACTCTAAATATCTTAATGGATTCAATTAAATCATTTTTTCACGTGTGATCGAACAGTAGAGATCGAGTTGTCCATACGTGCGCGGACGTATTTAATTCGGCTTTTTGATTGGACAAATTGTCGCGTCCGGTACCAGACATAAGACTCTATCCTTCTAATGTTAAAAGAAATATCAAAATAAAACTACGACTAGTTTTAATGCTGCTGTTACTTTAATGTAACTATTATCCAGCTTATTCTTCTAATACCTTGTTAAAAATAATTTCTGCTACTAAATGCGACCTTCCTACTTGTTGTTTGACACATAAGCTCTTGAGCTCTTGAATTAAATTACACAATTCTTTCATTTATTAATTCAGCATTTTATTTAAAATCAAACTCACCCTTTGCTAATTGGTAAGCTCCAGCAGTAATAATAACAAGTAAAGCCACTAGTTTGGCATAAGTAAAAACATCTTGGACTCTTGTTGCCCATTTGACGTCCCAACAATTAACAAATGCTAAAGTACCTGTAAATTAAAAACCTTTTATTCATTCACAGTATTGTTGAATAAGGCTAAAAATGATGTAATTAAGTTTTTTAATTTTGTCAATTTAAGTATTAATGGAATTTTGGACAACATGAAAAAAAAAGAAAGTTCGTTATAACAAAAAAGGAACATCGAGTAAAGGTAATTACATAAAAGATTATTGCAGTAATTGAATGATGGTGTGGTGTAAATTGATAAATTGATTTTCGATAGGTTGGTGGAGAGTTTTTGACTACAAAAGAAGGCACACAATGGAGAAAGCTTACATATGCAAACTGCCGCAAGCAACCGAGCAGCATCTCCCGGAGGATCACAATCCGGAAATATGGGCTTAAGAACATAAATACTAAACGTGAGAGCAACAATAGCTTGGCTACATGGCCGAACTATCATACACTCAATCCAAAGTCTAATAAATGCTGCGAATGGTCCAAACGTCTCCATAATATAGGCATAATCTGCACCTGATCTCTTTATCATACATCCTAATTCGGCATAACAATAAGCACCCACCTGGAACACCATCAGGTATTTGAGTTTTATTTATTTTTAATAGCATTTTTTGAAGGAATAACTTATTTAATATTACCATAGAAAATATTCCTGATAAAGTCCAAACTAAAAGAGCTACATTGGTACTTCCAGTGTGCATAATTACTCCAGTAGGGCTTACAAAAATTCCTGATCCAATAATTGATCCCACAATTACAGTAATACCATTGATAAGTCCCATTTTAGCTTCCAATTTTATTTCTCCAGGAGCATCTGCAGTCGCAGACATTGCTTCCAGTTCTTTCTCCTCATTATTTTCCACAGTGTCGAAACAGTTGTTATCTCCATTTTTAATGCTCCCTTTTCGTGACATTTTTTATCCTGAAAATATCATTTCATTTTATTAATATATCAATATCGATGCAGATCCTTGAATTAAAATAATTACTAGCTTTATTTTATCAAAGATTAATCATACTCAACAATATAATTGTTTATTAAAAAGAGAGAACGGTATGAAATTTTCTGAAGTTGTGAATAAATATTTAATTACGTGCATATATTTTTAAGCAGTTATATTAAATTTCAATGATTAATGTAAGGAAAAAAAATGTAAAAATGATCAAAATTGATAAAAAGAGGTTTCTTAATATAAAACATATATATTTTTATTTTTAAAAAACAGTTTTTTTCACAGAATATACTTAAAATATTACAATACACAGTATTAAGACCGTATAGCTTCCAAATTATCTAATTATTCAAGCGAATCAAGAAAAAAAGTAGAAATCGGTGAGAGGAAATATGGAATTTAGAAATCGTGATAATAAAAATCAGATTTATTACACAACATCGAGTATTATTCTACACAAAATTCACAAAAATTTCATTGATATTAACTCATTTAAAAAATAATAACTTTACATTGGCAACATACGTAAGAAATATATTATATATAAAAATCAATACACCACGTGGATCAACGGCTATTTCATATAATTTTATACAAATAATGAGTCAATACTAGTTCATTTATTTATCAAAAAAACATATCAAAAATATTTTTTCATTCACAAAAAACTTGACTTACCTGTTTAAGCTTATTTTAAATAATCAAGTTTTAGTTTAATTTTACTAGTTCAATATTTCCCTAACAAATTCACTGATTTCTGTTACAGAAAATACCAAGCATTTGAAAGAAGAAGTTGAATGAATGGAAAATGAAAATTTACTGAATTAAAAGATAATTAAAAGAAAAATTTTGGCAAATTATATAGGAGCAACCGTTTAAAACGGTCTTGTCACTTAACGTATCTCTACTCGCGTAAGACTCAATTCAACGTACGTAAAGCTATGATCAACCCAGTGCGACCACTCCATGTACGCTGAGCGTTCAATACATCACAGGAGAAAAGAGAGAGAAGGGTGGCAAAGAGGGGAGTTTAGAAAGGGGGAAAAAAAGAAAGGCACTAGTTCAAGGGGTTGGAAATTCGTATGATGTTAGACAAAACCAGTATTTGCTTTAAGACAATTAAACTCATTATTTTTTTACTCTTTTTGTTACACTTTATATTCTCACATAATATTTGATAACATCTGCTGAAGTTAATAAAATAGTTATTAAATCATCTACACGGCTTTTTATACGGTTAATCAATTTATTAAATATTAATTTAATTATTCATTTATCGTGATATTTAATGTTTATTTCATTTAACAACAGATATTTTGTGGTTGATTACAGGTTGAAGTAAATAAAAAGATTTAGCAAAATTTTTGTCTTTATGTTAAAAATGAAATTTAAATCGTTACCAAAATAGATATTAATGTATTCATGAATATTAAAATTGTGTAAATAATTGTCGATTGGAAACAACTTGACGTCACGTCTTTACTTGGATTTGAGCAATTTTATTTTATTTCTGCTTGACATCAACTGAAATGTATATGTATATCTATATGATAATGAGAAGAACTATTTTTTTTCTATGTTCAATATATGTGTTTTTTAGCTCATCTACTACCGTATATTACGACTATTTACATATCTAGAAGCACTCCAATAAAAACAAGATAATTATTTTTTTATTGATTATCTTTACACTTGGAGAAATTATTCAAGAATTTTGTGGAAATTTATGACATAATGATATCATAGTTTTTATTTAATTTAAATTTATTGCTATTGAGAACAATTGTTTAAGCAACAAATGGAACTTTATAACTTTCTTGTGAATTTATGAGTAAACAAATTTTTTGTTTTACTCCAATAATTTAAAATTTAATTTTATCTGGGAAAGTTATATTCTGCATATTTTTGTTTTATATTTCGAAGTATATTCAAAGACAAAGAATTTTTTTTTTCAATTTTAGTTTATTCATTTTAAATAAAACAAACTTAGTGAGTGTTTCTTAAAAATTCGCGGAATAAATTTGAAATTTTTGAAGATTGCATTATTACCGACAAATGATTTAAAAAACAATACCATAAGAGCAATTTAATATTTTTAATTTTTTTCACTGTGGCGCTGATGCTACTGATACTTCCTCTCTCATGAATTTTAATCCACGCTTGATTAATTCTCATCGCCATCTTCCTTCTTTGTGATCTTTCTATTCACATAACGAGATAAGTAAGTTCATTATGGTTTTTTTAACACATTTATGTGATTTTATGTAGTTCTAAAATTAATGATATTAATAAAACTAGCTTTCTAAAGTCAGATTATATATGAAAATCAATCATAATTATCAAAAAATGCAGTATAATCTTAAATAATTCGATTCGTTAGATGAGTACAATTTATAGCCACGTGCATGTAGCAAGCATTGTTTTTTTAAAATTAATTCTGTTAATAATTTATTAATTTTTTCATTAATATTATTAAAAAATTTAATTTAAAGAATGGCGGACGCTGCTCCAGCCGCTCGTGGAGGATTCCGTGGTGGATTTGGTGCTCGTGGAGGAGCCGGTGATCGTGGAGGTGGTCGAGGTCGTGCTCGTGGTGGACGAGGAAGAGGACGTGGACGTGGTCGTGGAGGTAAAGAAGACCAAAAAGAATGGATACCAGTGACTAAACTTGGACGGCTTGTAAAAGACGGAAAAATTCGTTCTTTGGAGGACATCTATCTCTTCTCCTTGCCCATCAAAGAGTATGATATTATCGATCAATTTATCGGACCATCTCTAAAAGATGAAGTACTTAAAATCATGCCTGTCCAGAAACAAACCCGTGCTGGTCAGCGTACACGTTTTAAGGTAGCTTCCACTCTTTCATTAAAATAAAGATTTTAATTGATAAATTTTATTAATAATTATTTTTAATTCCCAATAGGCCTTCGTCGCTATTGGAGATAGCAATGGACATATCGGACTGGGAGTAAAATGCTCTAAAGAAGTAGCAACAGCTATTCGTGGAGCTATTATTTTAGCCAAACTCTCCGTTGTTCCAGTTCGTCGTGGATATTGGGGAAATAAGATTGGAAAACCCCACACTGTACCCTGCAAAGTTACAGGAAAATGTGGATCTGTTCAAGTACGTTTGATTCCAGCACCAAGAGGAACAGGAATTGTATCAGCCCCAGTTCCAAAGAAACTTCTTCAGATGGCTGGAATTGAAGATTGTTATACATCAGCTCGTGGATCTACCTGTACTTTGGGAAATTTCGCAAAAGCAACTTATGCTGCCATTGCTAAGACTTATGCATACCTTACACCTGATTTATGGAAGGATATGCCTCTTATTGAAACTCCATATCAAGAGCACGCTGATTGGTTATCAAAGAATCATCGTGCTGTCACCGGCCAAAGAAGTGCTGATATGTAATCTTAACTCAGCAATGGATTGTCATCAAAAGAGTCAATAAAGTTGATACAAAATATATGTTGTTTTTTAAAATTATTTATTCAACTTTATAAATTAGCGTATAAATATTCTGTTATGGTTGACCATACTTTTACCATTCCCAATATCATGCCCTTAGGAAACAATACGGTTAACCATTTCTTACAAATTTACAAAATTTTACTCTTAAATATACATATATATAACATACAATATATTATAATGCAATACGATTCAACTTAAAGGCGTTTCACCTTCACATTCTTTCGTAAAAACTTCTATAACATGATCACTGACTTTCTCTAAATCTTCTAACCCTCGTTTGAGAGCATTTACTGCTTTTCCTCGGTGCATTTGAATCCTGAAATGCATCTTTGTTTCTGCAGGATGAGGAACGGTATAACCACAAAATTGAACATCTGGACTGTGATAAAAAATATCGGTATTAAGATTATTAAGAAAAAAAAACCCTTTATTTCTTACAATAATACTTACTATTGTGAAATTATGCTTCGAAGAACGTTTCCAAATGTATGACCCTCATCTTGGAAAACAAATGTTCGAGATTTTTCATTAGTTGTATCATCACCTGCAAGCTAATTAAAAAACATTAGTTTTAGAGTAATTTATGAGAAAATATTTGAATATAAAATTATTTACCACAGCAAGACGTCCCATTTTGAGTTTTATTTAGTGTATGTATTCTAAAGTAATTAAATTAGATTATTTATTAGTGGATAATTGTGTATTTAATTCAATCCGTCAACTATTCAACATGTGTCAGATAACCTCATGAGCTTGTCAACAACCGAAACACTAAAGTGTCGCCATCTAGTCCTAACTCAAATTTTGCAGAACTAACATCAATAAACCCGCGAAAATAAAGACATGGTCGTTGTACATATGTAGTTTTGATTAATTTAACTATAAACGTAAATTTAAATAAATGTACAGATTCAAGTATAAAATATAATCATGAATTTTTAATTATAAGTTATTTATTTTTTATTCAAAGTTATTTGTTTACATACCAAAAATATGAATATTATCATTACAAACAAAAATCCGAGTCTTCCAAAAAAAATGTCAATTAACTTTTAATTCACATACAAAGAGTTTGAAGTTGGAAGAAGTTCTTAGCAAATTTTAACAATATAAGCCTTCAACTATTTCAATGGAGTTTTAATAGCTACGTCCAAATAGAGTCCAAAATTGAACCTTTTTACCACAAGCAGGACGTATACATTTCAAATTATCCAATTTTTCATCTTTGGGTTGACTAAATGGAACACAAAGGCTTTTAGCTCCCATGGCAGCAGCACCAGGCTCTTCACCAGGATCTTCCTTAGCACTATCTTTCTTAATAATATCCTCACATTCCATATCCCCGCAGAATGGAGCCAATATTAAATTTTTGTCATCTAATGTTCCACAGAAATTACTCCAGTTTTTACAGATCTTGGTATGCGAGTCTAAATCTAATTTCGCATTATCAAACATGTTTTTCTGTACCTTGTCCAATAGATCAATAATAAAGTTATGAGCATGATTACGATTAGCTGTTAATCGTTGACCGTTATCTCTTCTCACTAATGTTATTTGTGATTTTTCTAAATCTTTGAATCCTAACTCGATTCTCAAGGGAACACCTTTGAGTTCCCAATGATTGAATTTCCATCCTGGACTATAGTTATCACGATAATCTCCTTTAACTCGAATAATTCCATCTTTTTTCAGTTCGTTTTCAAGTTTAAGACATTCAGACATTAATTTGTCTCTTTCTTCAGTAGTTGTTGATGCTGTTATTCCACATGGAATAATAATTGCTTGAACTGAAGCTACTTTTGGTGGTATAACTAATCCTTTATCATCTCCATGAACCATTACCATCACTCCAATAGTTCTTGTGGTAATTCCCCATGAGTTTTGATAAACAAAAGTTTTCTCACTACCTTCTACAACACCTTCTACTTTTATATCAAACATTTTTGAGAAATTTTGGCCCAAATGATGACTTGTAGCACCTTGAATTCCTCTTCCACTTGCTGAAATAAAGGCTTCAACAGTTGTAGTGTAATCACCACCAGCAAATTTTTCTTTTTCAGTTTTTCGACCTCTAACTACTGGGATGGCTAGTAACTCTTCATAAATCCTTGCATAAAGCTCTAAAATTGTGAGAACTTCCTCATCAGCTTCGGCTTTATTTAAAAATGCTGAATGCCCTTCTTGCCATAAAAATTCTCTTGTTCTTAAAAATGGTTGAGGATGTTTGAACTCCCAGCGGACAACGTTGTTCCATTGGTTCAATTTTAGAGGTAAATCTCGATGCGATTTAAGCCATTTTGCATATGCAGGATACATAACAGTTTCAGAAGTAGGTCGGATTGCAATTGGTTCAGCTAAATCTGATTCTCCGGATTTTGTTACCCATGCAACTTCTGGAGCGAAATCAGCAATATGTGTTTTTTCACGTTCTAGAGCAGATTTACTCACAAAAATAGGAAAATAGCAATTTTGAACACCTAACTTTTTTATTTCAGAATCGAAAAAGTCTTTAATAACGTCCCATATGGAATAACTCCAAGGACGTAGTATATAGCAGCCGGAAACATCATAGTACTCAATCATTTCACCTTTAGTTATCACCTGAGAATACCAATCTGATAAATTCTCACTTTTCTTAGCTTCTAAACCTAGTCTTGTACCTGTTTTTAAATTGTCGGCTGTTTCTTTAGGTTTTTCTTTCTTTTCTTCTTTTACTTTTTGTTTCTTCGCTGGTTCCGCTGCTTTAGATTTTTTCCCTTTATCTGCTTCTGCTGCTGCTGGTTTCCATTCTTGACCCGTTAATGTTTTATAATCATTTTTCAGTGATAATAAAACCTTTACTTCAGTATCAATTTTAGCTTTATCAGCTTTCTCAGATTTTAATTGACGTACCTTATTACCTTGATCTGTAATCTTTTGATTTAATATTTCTGCGGTCTCGTTCGTCATTGCTGTTGGTTTTATTTCAATATCCGGCTTCCAATCAACACCAGTTAAACTTTTGAACTCACTCTTAAGTGATAACAATGTTTTTACCTCAGCGTCAATTAATTTTTTGTCCGCTTTATCACTTTTCAATTGTCTTACTTTATTTCCTTGATCTTTTATTTTTTCAGATAGTAAATTAGAATCTGTCAATGATGCAACTTTCTCCGAATTTTCTTTAGAAGTAGTCTGTAACAGAATGAATGAACGTTAGATCGCTCTATTAAAGTTAACTGTATTGCCTGATCGCCTACTCAACGCCGATTAACATGACATTGAAAAACCCCTCCCACTTACTTTCTTCTAATTCAAGAATTTGTATACTTTCTTTTTTATTCTACTGCCATATGGGAGAGAAAAAGATTAATAAGAAAAATGATCACGTGTTGAACAATGACTCCATTTGTAAAGGCCATTTTTTCCGCATTGTTTATCAACCGATAACGTTGCTACCATAACTATCAGCTATAATTTTAATCCTTTCAGAGAAGGATATCCACGTGACAAATCATGTGATTCATAATATTTCTTATTATTCAGAAGAAAGAACGTTACTGTGTGGTTTGAAAAAAGATAAATCAATTTATTTTTTGATTGATTATCGATCAATGCAATTTGTTCATTGACATCGATTAAAAATATGAAATAAATTTATTACATCTATTCTCTTGATAGAAAGAGAATCTAAAATGATTTATTTGAAGATTAGAAAATATATGTAAGTTACTTACCACTTTCTGTGATTTATTATCAACTTCTTTGGTTGTAGCCGTTGTTGATGATGTAGAAGTTGTAACGTGACCATCTGGTACAAAGAAAAGTATTAATGGACGCACTCGAGACGTCAAGTCGCTCATTGGAGCATAGGGAACGTCACATCGGAAAAATCCTTTTCTTTGGAGTTGAATAATTTCTCCTTTCTTCACCCTTTTTAATTCTGCTTCTCCTAACAATTTGACCTCTTTCTAAAAACATGAATTAATTATAAAATGAATATCAAGTTTTTTACATAAGAAAAAGATTTTATTTTTAAAATGATAGTAATTGATAATCCAATGAATTACCCTAGTATCTTTAGCTACGAAGTCTTTGAAATCATCGTCTTTCGCTAACAATGGTTTGGTGATGATATGATCAAAATAAACTGCAACACAGGGAATAAAACTGGAATCTTCATTTTCTTTATCTTCATCATCAACTGCTAACCATGTTAATTTCACTGTATTTTTAAAATCTTTATTGTCGAGATTCAAATCAGCGTCAATGTCAACAATTTTTCCATTGTCTCTTTTAATATTGGTAATCATCAAATTTCCCCAATTGATGAAAGTAGCATTTTCTTTAACTTTAAGAGTTTCAGCATCAACTCTTTCAATAAAAATTTTTTTGTTTATTAATACTTTTTTAGTTCCTTTTGTAGGATCTTTTGGATGATTTTGTGCATCTATGAAATCTCTTTTTGCTCCTTTAACATTTACTACAACTAAATCATCTTCATTTAATGCAGTGTAACGAATAGCAATTGGATCAATAATTTTTTTGTTAAAAGCCCATATTTTATCCCATTCCATAAAGACAACAGCTTTGGAACTTCCTTGAGAAATGATAAATTGTTTTAATCCTTCTACAGTTAACCCATGTCGTAAAATTCCTCTTACAGTAGGTAATCGAGGATCATCCCAACCAGAAACTAATCCATTTTCCACAAACCATGTTAATTTCCGCTTTGATAAGACTGTATGGGTCATATTTAAGCGCGAGTATTCCCAAATATAAGGACGGCGTAATCCTAGAGCTTCTATAAACCAATAAAATTGAGGATCACGATCATGATATTCAGTTGTACGTAAAGTATGTGTTACGTTTTCAATTGCATCAACTATTGGACAAGCGAAATCGTAAGTAGGATATACATTATATTTTCTATCTGTTTTAGGATGCGGTTCGGGTTTACAACGATAGATTGTTGGATCTCGCATGCACCCATTGACAGATTGATAGTCAATTTTAGCTCGTACACAGCATTCTTGACCCTTTGCACTGCCTTTCTTCATTTCTTCCCACAATTCTAAATTTTTTTCCACCGAATTGTCACGATTGGTACTTGGAAGTTTTTGCTCACGTTGTTCTTTCATCGTCAGTGCCGGAGTATCATCGACAAATGCTTTTCCTTCTTTAATTAATTTTTCACAGTAGTCTAACATTAGATCAAAATAATCCGAAGTATGGGTAAAGCGATCTGGTTTAATTTCTAACAGCTTTAAGTCCTCTAGGATCTCTTGTTCAAATTCTACAGACTCTTTGGCGGGATTTGTATCATCAAACCTCATAATTAATTGTCCTTTAAATTTATCAGCATAGTACTGATTTAATAAAGCCGCTTTAGCATGTCCAATATGTAAATATCCAGAAGCTTCCGGTGGAAAACGTACAACAACTTTTCCCATTTCTGCTCCCTCTAGTTCTTCAAACTTTCCTTCTTGTTTTCTACCGGTAGATGCATTTGATTTTTCTTTTGGCTTTTGTGTTTGATTATTTTTCTTCTCAGTTTTTTTACTTGTTGAAAATATATTCACAATATTAATTACTTTTTCCACGATAGGATGGGATTTCATTTGTTTATACCAACGATTCAAATGAATATATTCAGTATCATTGGCATAATTCATTTTGAACAGTGCTGAAAATGTATAAATATCAGCTAAAGTTAATTTTTTAGCTACCAGCCATGTTTTCGTTGTTAATGCATCATTTAAATATTTTAAAGAGTTAGCATTAAACTCAAAATTTCTCAGAGATTCATTACTTAAAGATAACCAACTATCCACTTGAGTTCTATCTGTAATTTCATTTCCACCTAGAAAAAACATATGCAATAATAGAACAAACTGTTATTATTAAACAAAAGAATTCTCATTAATCGATTTCAATTAATTAAAGAATGTTTTATTTTACCATATAAATTGTTGTCACTAGTTCTGGCTAAATAACGTCCAACGTTGCAATCATCATCACAAATAACTTGATCATTCATTAACAGCTGCACATTACAAGCTAACTTCCATGGTTTGGGGTATTCTATATTTATATTTATCTTCTTATGTTCTGATAATAATTCAGTCACGATCAAAGATCCTTGAAATATAAGATTTAATTAAATATTGTTATATATTAACTCCAAAATGTTTTCAATGAATTATTAAAAACAATATGAAATATGATTGATAAAGAAATACTCATACCAATTGGGGGATCCTGAGTATTAGCAGTAAGCTTAAGACTCATTGTTGAAATCGTTAATCAGTGATTTTCTGTTAAACAATTCTTTATTGAACAGTATACTGTTACAGTTATAATAACTAGATTTAAAGTGATGAAATTTTTCCAGAATGTTAGGTTAGAACGTGTCCACCGGCATACGAGAAATGCACACAAATACTTTGACACACATTCATCGACGATGTACATGTATGTACATATGTACACCGTACATACGGCAGGGAAAAGTCATTTTTTTCTTCTGTAGCTTCATAAAATTAGATTGGTGACTTATAGGAACTTTTGGTTAGGTAGTTGGTAGACTGTATGTTTGAAATTGATAAACCCATTGGAGTAGTTTTTTTTACTACCAGGTTGTTATAATCATAATAATACTTACTATTCACGTGATTGTCAAAGTATGTAATTTTATGCCGACAGCACCTTTCTACATTTATTCCTTAGACGTTTTGCTCTGGAAGTAATTACCTAACGATAATAAAAATCTTGTCAAAATGGTGACAGCTCGTGCTTTACATTATGTATTTAAAATACCAGATCGTCAATTAACAGCCAAGTTTTATCGAGAAATATTAGGCATGAAAGTAAGTACATTTACTTTCTTTAGAAATTTATTAAAATCCAGTAAATCTCAGTTGTTAATTATTATTTTATTGCATCACAAGGTGCTGAGACATGAAGAATTTTCTGAAGGTTGTGACGCAGCTTGTAATGGGTAAATATTAGTCATCTAATAAGCTACAAGTTATCTTTGTATTTACTATAGATATCAATGTTAAGATTTATTCGAAAGATTTGTTATTTTTCATTGAAATTAGAGATGTTGAACTACTTTTGAATGATCATAGAAATTACTTTTTTATCATTAATTTTTTCTGATAGATGCTTTGATAGATGCATTCATACTATTCATCTATCCTAATGAGTTTTATGTTTAATCTTTCAAGGCCATATAATAATCGCTGGAGCAAGACAATGATTGGATATGGTCCCGAAGATACGCATTTTGTTATTGAATTGACCTACAATTATGGAATTAACCATTATGAATTCGGAAATGATTTTAGAGGAATTACTATTCGATCAAGTGAAGTAATTGAACGAGCTAAAAAGAATAATTGGCCAATTGAGAAAGAAAATGAGCTTTCAGTACTTAAAGCACCTGGTGGATATAAGTATTATATTATTGATGAGCCCCAAAGTGATGATAAAGGTGGGAATAGAATATTTCATATATTTGTGACATCTATTATTCTTCTAAATTCTTATTATGCATCATTTTTTGGAATCAGATCCTGTTGAAAAAGTTACTTTATCAAGCTCTAATCTTCAACGATCTCTCGCTTATTGGAAAGATATTTTGAGCATGAAAATGTATGGCAAAAGCGAAAAGAGTATCCTTTTAGGATATGGAGATAATCAAGCAAAATTGGAATTTTATGATATTGGTAATTTTAAGCTATGTTATATTGTCGAATTAAAAATAAAACTGATGGAAGTTTTATTAGAGTAATTATATTAGAATGAATAATTGATATTCGATTGATATGAAATTGTTTTACAACAGGAACTGAAGTGGATCATGGAAAAGCTTATGGCAGAATAGCATTTTCAATTCCACACGCAGAACAACCGTCAATTCAACAAAAAATCAAAGAAAGTGGCAATAAAATACTTACAGATTTGATTACATTAGATACACCTGGAAAAGCATCTGTTCGTGTCATAATTTTGGCTGATCCTGTAAGTTTTGAACATAATGTGATGTTAAATAATAGTAAATTATAATAAATAATTTTTTTAGGATGGTCATGAAATTTGTTTTGTGGATGACGAAGGTTTTCGTCAACTTTCTGTTCCTGATTATCCAAGTGAAGCTATTTTAGACAGATACATTGCTAAAGAAGCCAATATGAATACCACAAATGTTTAACTTTCTTTACCTATGGTAGACAAGATCAGAATTATTGGAGCTTTAATTGGATAATAACTGCTAAGAATTATAAATTATATTAAAAATTAATAAATTCAGGTAAAATGATTGAATAATTTTTTTGAAAAAATATTTAAAACGTTATTTTCTGAGTAATTGATCGAAACTATAAATACATATGTCTTAAAATTTAAATAGTTAAATATATCATATATTTTGTCATAATTTGTTAAAGAATTTTATAAAAGTTTTCATCTTTTTATTGAACAACGTTTTTAATACTTGATGCATAATATATTGATCTAAAAATAAAATATGAAAAAGATTGAATAAAAGTGAATTGAATTCTGTCAGTATTAAATAAATACAATTTTATGATTATAATTTTTTCAATTAATTTTCATGTTTTGACTATTTCAGCTGTAAAGGTATTATTATCATTATCATTCATTGTCATTAAATCCCATTATGGAGTATTATTTGTAGTTCAGGGCATAGTAATTTCATTAACATGTTTTCGTTATCTTAATGGATTATTTGTTGAGTAATTGAAATGACAGATCAAATAGTAATTTATTTTATGAATTTTCATCCAGATGATTCACAATAAAACTTTTATGTAAAAAATTAAATAAATAATAAGCAGGAAATAGTTTTTCTATGATAATAGACTAATTTTAATCAGAAGTTAATATAGAATTACGTATTATTTATCCTCTATGATGTCATTCAGATATATTTTCTTGGAAAGCACTAATTTCTCGAATCTGCTAATAAAAATAAAATATATTTCAGTACACATGAACACGTCATCATATTTTCCTAAAAATCAAGATTAAGACAATCACATACTTTTATTCAGAACGCATTAGAAAAAATCCAAATATGATTAATTTTTAGTAGTTGACTCATAAAAAGTTTTCTATTGTCAGTTCTTAATATTTGTAAAGATAACACGATTCAGTTACCATAAAAATAATTGAGCAACGGAATTCAGCAGTAATAATTGTGTGAGAAATTATTAAACGCTTCAGATAACACACATCTGTCACCATAAAATTGGTAAATTGTTCACTCATACACATATATGTACATATATATGAATTGATGTAATAAAAAAAATACCAGTCTATTGTGTCAATTGGTTGAGATTGTGTCTCCAGTGATATTTTTGTGTTTTCAACAGAATTAATTTTTTTCTATTGGTCTTATTTTAATAATTCCCGTTTTTGCCAATATTAATTGATATTTATAAGGATAAATAAAATATTATAAAGTTATATAATATTTTGTCTCCAGGATTTAAATGATTACAACGTAAATAAAAAAAATTCAATAAATCAAGAAGCTGTTGATTTTGATATTGATTTGTTGTAGCAATCGTCGTATTACGTTCCACTGATATTGCGGAAAGTAAACATATAGCTGATAAAAGGTCAATTAGGTCAGAAAATTTAATGAAAAATTTATAGTGGGAGAATCCCTAGAAGTGTTTGATCATATCCAAATACATTAGAATATCTCAAAGTGAAGTAATAAAGCATCATCTATATATAATTTTCAAACGTCAGAATATGTTCAGTTTCTATTTATCGTTCATTAACTGAGGTCACAACATGTTTGCATCAATTAGTGATCGAAAAATTATTTCTATTATTGTGTATGCTGCTATAATTTTAATTGTTAGTGATATCGGTTAGTATTCGATTACATCTATTGTTACGTTTAATATTCGTTGCTGAGAAATTATTTATTATTTCATTATTGTTTAAAGATGTAAGTGAAGCAAAATGGGGAAGATCTGGCGGGGGGCGTATAAGCAGTTCTCGAGGAAGTTTTGGAGGAAGTAGATCATCAGGTAGATCGAGAACTCCAGTTTCTCGTCCACCCGTTTATCATCCACCTCCACCTCGTCCTCCTTCTCGACCATCTTATCCAAGTGCACCACCCATAAATCATCCAATTTCTCATCCTCCTATATCATCTCCTCCACATCCGAAGCCTTCAGCTCCTAATTCGCCGCCATTAAATTCTAAAGATAGCAGTAACATTTTTATACATCAAGAAGGAGGAGGTCGTCCCAAACCTCGTAAGTAGATAAATTTTTTTTATAATATATTCAGTGATAAAATTTAAATCAATTTGTTTAGCTCTTAATCATGATGTTCATCAAACATCACCTGTAAAACCAGGAGAATCAATTAATAAAGTTAATATGCCAACATCACAAAATGTACCTATTGGATCACCGTCAAATAATTATCCACCCTGGGCAAATCCATCTGCAAAACCTGGATCTGTTCCTCCAATTGGATCTCCATCTGCACCTTATCCAAATACTCGCCCTATTGGGACACCGTCAGCTTCAGCACCATATCCAGCTAACCATCCAGTAGGAATGCCACATCCATCAAACCCATCTACTGGAATATCTTCTGCACCATATCCAAATTCTCATCCAGTTGGAATGCCAAAACCTTCCAACCCAAATACTCCCATAGGTTTTCATCCTCCTGGACACTCAACAAACTCGATAGGTCAACCACACCAAGCTCCAACACTTGGCAGCGGCGTTCCCCATTCTCCAGGACATGCACCAACTAATTATGGACCACCACCTGTTTATGGAGCACCTTCAGGAACCCACGGTGGTTATGCACCTCCACCACCTTATTCTGGTGGTTATTATAATAATCCAGGAATGAATTATCATCCACCAGCTTATGGACAACCTCCAAGTTATCATCAATCTATTGGAGCTGGTCAGCCTACTTATATGCATCCTCCAGCATATGGTGGAGGAGGATCTCAACCTTTTGTACCAGGTCAAAGTGTTATTGTTCTTCCTAATGCACCTAAAGAACCAGGACTAGGATCCATGGTGAAACAAGCTCTGGTATTTTCAACAATTAATGCTGGTGTTAATAGACTAATAAATGGTGCTCCTCATCATCACTGGCATGATAGTTCTTATCATCCCAGCAATCCTACTGGTTCAACATCAACAGTCACGAATAATACCACAATTATTAATAATAATTACGGAGTACCTGATGGTCAACAAATCGGAACGTCAAGTGGTCCTTATCCTAATCAGTTCCCGAGTTCTTCAAATAATTATCCATCTAGTAATCCAAATTATTATCCTGGTGGATATAATAACAATAATAATAATAATAATCCTAATAGTGCTAATACTCCTAACAGCTTTCCTACTCTTAATCCTGGTAATGCTCCTGTTGGAAATAATAATATTAATAATGGAAACAATTTTCCAAATCGAATATCTGGCAATGTTGGTACCAATTATAACAATACTAATCAATTCAATGGAAACTTAAATAATGGAACTACTACTTCTCCACCCGAAGAAGTCATACCAGTAACTTATTATATTTCTGAAGATGAATTATATAATTTAACTGAAAAATTATTTGCTCAAAATGAATTAAAAACAAATCAACGACTATATGTTTTGAATTTACAACAAAAAGTCTCGAATGTTTCGAATGTCAAGGATGAGTCACCAAATCCGTGAGTATTAGATTCATTAAATAAACATTTTAATAATCATAATAAAAATTTAAAAAATAAAATATTATTGATATAACTTTTTTTAGATTATTTTACTTGGATACTGCAGCATATTCCCATCCTACAATTTCTGTATTACGTGAAATGTATGAAAATTATGAATTTAATTCAACAAAAAAAGAGAATACGACCAAAAGTTCTAGAATGAAGGAAAGTTTACTTATTGATACATTTTTAACTACTGATGTAATGACTTCAGCGATAAAGTGGCTACAAGAAAAATACTACATTGAACCCGATGACTTTGAAGTCAAAGATTCATTGAGACACACATGGTTTACTAAAATGGATGGCTATACATCAGGATTTGAACGAATTTTCATGGCTGAATGGTATCCAGGTCCCAGTCTGTTAGGTGGACAAAATTGGATTTATTTTGATCACGAAGAGTATCAGAAAAAACTCAATTATCTTTCATATGTTGATAAAGTAAACATTAATAATGTAAGTTAACATAAAAATAGTTCACATAATTTTTATACTAAGGCAAACATTTTATTATTTCTTTTACACATAAATATTAAATTCTATGACATACAATTTTCAATAAATAAATAAATAAATTAATAAAAATATTTTTTTAGGATGTTTCCTTGGTAAAAGTGAACATTGAGATGGCTGGAGTAGTTAAACCGAATGTAACAATGCTAATTGGTACCCCTCCAGAATTAGAAATGGCTTTGTACACTGTCTGTTATTATGCTAGACCAAATGACATTTGTCCAGTAAAACTTGGAGGAGTCAAATTCAACATGTATACACATAGCTTCCGTTACTTTGGCAAGGATCTTATGGATTTAGGAATTATTATATTCTGATCCGACATGGAAAATCAAAAAGCCACTCCAAGAAAGGAACAATATCATTGTAAAAAATATTTAGAATAGAATCATATAGGTACATTAAACCAAAAATGTCCACTGGATATTCTAGAGTTCTAGACACTTGTAAGTCTGTGTATTTACATTCAATCGATTTGAACTATAAAAAATTATTATTAAATAAATATAAAGATTTTTTAATTATGATTGTTACAAAAAGTTCTACTTACAGCTAAGCAAATGATGGTTAAACCGATGATGATGTAACTTGTATTCATCTTGATAATAATATTTTTATATCAATAACATAAAATTTCTTGAATTATTAATTTAACTAATTTTTACTTTATCTCAGAATGATTTCGTTTAAACTACACTTCTTCATCAAAAATTCTAGATTAGAATAATATGAGAAGGAACCTTTCTCGATGATACTTTAATAAGTTATGTTTAAAAATTATAAATACACGACTTATTTTATATGTTCTTGCATCCCTACTTTTACTGATTTCATTCAAGATAAAATTTAAAAAATATACTTGTAACATCCTACACACTTTTGAAATAGTTCAATAGTAATAAATCCATAAAAAAAGAAGGTATTAGGGCTAACTAAAAATTTCTTTTTTCATAGTACATACCTGAAAGTTGAGTTATTAAGTATTTTTTTATTATGTTATTATCCCTTCAAGAAGGAATATTGATAATTCATTTCTAAGAAATATATTTTGTAGTTCTATTTTTAATAAATTTATAGACCCGATAAGTTTAACCATTTAATTTCACAAAAAATATCCAGTTAGGTTTCCATGTCATAAATCAATTTTAAACGGCATCAAATTGAACGTATCAGGTCACTGTTAACGATTTGTTATAATCAAAGCAAGAGAGATAGGGATTAAGATTAATTGTTTATTATTAAACAATAATTATATACATACTGGTAACAATTATTTGATGAAATAAATAATATAATTTAAGTTAATTATTTAACTATCTAGCGAATTCCTTCGAGACATAGAATCAATTAAATTTCATTATTATTTATTGATATAATTTTAATTTTGGCAAATTAATTCTGTGCTCAAGAGAAGTTTTTATAGTCAAAATAATATTCAATTGGTTTTAAAATATATCTGATCCATAGTCATCAAAAACATCTCCATAATCATCATAATCTTCAGCTCCTGGTGGAACAAAAATTCCTCCAAGGAAGCCAGCTAATCTATCACCATATCCCATAGATGCTGCAATACCGAAGATGAGTCTCATTACCACTAGCCTAATGAAATTAGGAGCATTAGTCTCTTTTTGTTGAAGTGCAAACTGTTTTAGTTTTGCTCTTTTACATTCTATTGAACTTAGCTGTAAAAAAATGCATATTAGCAGAAACAGAAATTTTTAATTGACTAGATTTTTAAATATAAATTACTTACAAATGAATAAATAATGATTGTCATGATGAATAAATACTTGGTATTCATGTGAATGAATGATTTCTTCATTTTCCAAATTGAGCTGTCAATAGACAGTATAGACCAATAGATGATTGAATTATGAAGTCCTTAATGGTCTTGAGGGATGATTAATTTCATAGAATAAGAAGTCGACAAAAAAAAGAAAATCAAAGATGACGTGAGTACTTCCTGTATTAATTCCGGTCTTTAAAAGGCGCTTGAAGGAAACAATAGCTTGTTCGATTTCAATGACTCAAGACAGTAGCCGTTTAATACTTAAAAGACGGACAATCGTAATAAATTATACTTATTTTTCTCTTCTATTCCATTGTCCAGAGAATGGATTGAAGGAGGCTCTGATGCGTAAGCTCCGTGAAAGATGACTGAACCACACCGTTGTTATATGTTATTACACCTGTATCACCTTTACTTTTTACTTGTTTTATATTTTTCTTAACTTAATCTCTTCCTTATTGCTTTCAATTTGTTTAGCGTTCCTTGATACTATGGAACTAATGACTTTGATGACTGTCTATTATTGAAACAGAAAACGCGACTGATGATATTCACGCTATACTAAAGTTATTCCCCAGTAACGGGACATTACGAAAAAAGGCATTCAGGCCAACGTCAAGTCTCGCCTCTTTAGTCAAGTACGATACCTGAAGTTTAAATATATTGATTGTCACTTATACTTAGTATTAGAATTGAATGTGGTTAACGTTTGTTCAAGAATTTTTTTTTACTTATATAGAATGTCAATAGTAAGAGTTGGCTTAGATTACTATTTTGTGGTGTTAAGCAACATTCTATAAAAAAATATGTACTCTCTAATTTTTGTAGATTAACTTTACTGTTTGGTTCTACTCGTTCTATTATTCTAATAGTTTATTTCTATGAATATAAATATATTTTATTAATACTGAGTTTTCATTATTCCACATTGCGTCCTGAATCTTCATATCACACCTGTTGCAATGACTAAGAATCTCAAATTAAATTACATTAATTAATCATTGTATTCATGTAGATGTATTATTAATGATTAATTTTTTATACCCCTAGAATTATAAATATTCTTTACTACATTAAAAATAAATAGCCTATTAAAAATGAATCTATGAAATCGTTAATGGAATAAACCATTATCGATAAGTATTTAAATGTCTAAAGTGAGTACAGGAAAATGAAATATCAACAGAACGTGAATAGAGGATGAAATAGACAGATAAATTAGCATAGAACTAGCAATATACAAGAGTCAGAGATGTATAACAGGATTTGTTGAACGAAGTGTTATTTAATATTATTGCTGCAGGTGCTGAGTAGTACATGAAGAGGAATAAAGAATATGGAGTGGACAATGGAGGAAAGAAAACATAAGAGAAAAAATGATGAGTAAACGATGGGCTAAAGAGAATGTATGAGAAGCAGGATGCGTTCAAGACCGGACGTTACTGTTCAAGAATACGCAAGCAGTTCTAGAAATGAAGGAAATCGATTCTTGTACTTTATTTAATGCGCATTCTTGGAGGTATTACTAAATAATTGTTAATATCTAAAAAAAAGGTCACTTTGATAAACGATATTGTTCAAAAATTATCCATTCATAGACAGCAAATAATTACTCAATTATCTTAAATACAGAAGTGTCATTTTTATCAATAAATTTAATCTATAAATATATGATCATTAAAACCACTTTTTTGTCTCATATCGTTAGAATTTAAACAGAACAGTTTAACAATATTGTATTTAACATGTATTGAATTGGAAGAAATAGATTGTATTCATGACGGTTAATGGCAAAAGTGTAGTAATCAATAAAGACTGTTCAACACTTCTATGGCATATGTATTTTCATTTTGCGAGACAGTTAATGCAACAATGCGGACCTAGGTAAATACAATTCTGAGAGAGTTCTTCGACCTGGCACGTTATCTAACATCAAGCACGTCTGCGTACAGTACATTGAAGAATACATGCAAGCATTATATTCCTGCTGCACCTGCGCCAACTCAACACGACATGCATTTATCTTGTTTGTTTTACACGAGTACCCAACATAAAATGTATTCTATAATGAACTTTGTCATTTATGTCATTCATTAGCTCATCTAAAAACAAACGTTTAAAGTAATGTATTTTTATTTATTTATAATTATAAAATTTTTTATAATAAAAAATATTTTAATATGATTAAGAACACAGGACGATTCTAGGATGCATAAAATCGATTCTAAGAATTGGGTCTTATGTAAAACGTGTGAAATATTCAGATGGAATGAAGAACAATCGAGATGCCGATTGAAATGTGCTTTGGAACGCCGGTAAAGCTGTTAATTGAACGATACGAGAAGCTGCTCTTTTCTGTCCTTCTTTATCAATGCGGTGGAGTTCCTCCCTGTGTGCGGTCTTTTGCTCAGAAAATTCTGCTTCATTCAGTGCGTGCTTCACTCCCACCGGTGACACTTAGCCCACGCTCACGCCCAACGTACCATCTTATAACCTACGATCAAAAGAAATCTTTTAAAATAACTACAAGAAAAAAGTGATTTTATTATATACACATAAAAAAAATTAATTCATATGATTATTTACCAATATGTTGATAGAAGATTTAAAAGTGGGATGTTTTCAAATAGCATTATTATTTCTTCTTGGGATAAATTACATGATAGTTGCCATGAGTCATAATTTATCAGTTTACCATAACTATACACCAAAATTTTATTGTGAGGTAAATAAATTTAATAAATAAAAGACAATTTTTTACTTGACATTTAAATAGGTAAATTAATGTTAATCATTCTTTATTACTAGTCATCAGATGGGGTAAATAAAACCTATGGTTGTGTTTCAAATCCATCCAATAATCTGAATTCAAATTCATCGATGATGATTAATAATCAAGTTTTAACATTTTGTACGAGTGAATACATATTTTCAACGGAATATGGTGAAAGAAGTACTGTGACTGATTGGGGGTTAATATGTGAAAGAAGTTACTTGAAAGATCTCAGTGTAACTATTTATTACGTGGGTGTATTGATTGGTGCATGGATCGCAGGAATTTTAACAGATCGGATTGGACGACTTCCGGTTCTTGCACTTTGTTTATATACTCAGGGAACAATGGCTGTAGCTACTTATATTGTTCAGGTAATATTTATCTGTGTATAGACATTCTCCTTCTTTAATAAGTATTGGAATAATATTTTTATTCAACAAACAATTATTGATTGTTAAAATTCTTAATTAGATTAAAAGCCTAATCTGAGTAATTGTTAAAAATATTTTCAACAGAGTTATCCAGTCTTCCTTGCACTTCGAGGTCTTCAAGGAGTTTTTGCTCAGGGATTACAAAGTTCCACGTATATTTTGGTTCTTGAATTATTTCCCGCAAAGTTTCGAACATTAGTGTCCTCAGTAATGGGTGTTGCGTGGGTTTTAGGATTATTATTACTAGCAATTCTCAGCTATATCATTCCAGATTGGAGGATACTTCAACTAGGAGTTTCTGTTCCAACTGCAACTACAGTTCTTTATATATGGTAGCTTTTTATCTCTATAATAAATTTTAATGAAAATTACGTTATAATTGCTATAATAATTGATAATTACTATTTTGTGATGCAGGATAATTCCTGATTCACCAAGATGGTTGATAGCAAAAGGAAAAACAACTGAAGCTGATATATCTTTGGAAAAAATTGGAAATTACAATAATTGTTGTTGTGGAAATAAATCCAGAAGAGAATTAGTTGCTGAGAATAGTGAAAATGCTACTCCCATTAAATTGGAAAGAAAGTCTCAGATTTTTAGTAACGACGAAAAAGATCCAACTGAAAGTGAAGCTGTGAATTTGTTGACACCAACTACTTCTTCGAATCGCAGTTCAAGACGTAAGCATTTAAGATAAAAATAAAATTTAATATTATACTTTATTATAAATAAATTATCAATTTCAATAAAAAATTTAGGTGTAAGTTTAAAAGTTATATCACAAAATTTAGAAAAAAGATTATCAAACCCTACATCAGAAACACTTATTGAAACATCTGATGTAAAATTAGATAAAGTTGAAGAACCTTTAAAAAGAATAAGCCATTGTGGTTCTGATGTTATTTCTCCGAATGAAGAAAATCAAGAAGAACAAATTGCTCGTGTTGAATATCAAATTATAGATAATAACTTAATATCAGATGAGAAGATTGAAAGTACCGAAGTAAAGAACGAAGAGAAAGCAGAAACGAAAGAAGTTTCTAATTCGAAAATTAGTAATAAATGTTGCTCATCGGACAATAAACTTTTTATAAAATATGGAATGATTATATCATGCCAATGGTAAGTTTGATAAAAAATGTATGGAATAGATAATGCATGAAGATCAATTAAATTGATGTTTGTAGTAATTCGTTTTAAGTGATGAATATGACTTAAGTAAAAAATCTTGAGAAGTACATGTTATTAATTATTGATTGTATAGACAGTAGTAAAGTTTTTTCTATTTTAATTATTTTTTCTCTAGGTTATCAGTGTCTGTGATGAATTCTTTAATAATACGTTTCCTGCCTAATGTAGTGGAAAATAGACACATAAATTTTGTAATAGGCGGTATTCTAGAGCTTACAATTTATGTGGTAATTTATTTTATTTTGTCAAGACACGGAAGACGTTTACCAATGGGTGTTTGTCAAACGCTGAATAGCGTGATTTGCATCGTGATAGCTGGGCTGGTATTCCTACCACGCGTAACGGCATTTTGGATTGGTAGAAAGACTAGTTGTCCACGATGTAACCTTACAAGTTAAAGAATTCATTAAAAATCCTAATTTATTTCAGGTTCGATGAAAATAATTTTGCTCTTGTTAGGTAAACTAACAGCTGTGAGTACGTTTGCAATAATTTATCTATATACCATTGAATTATTTCCAACCGTAGTACGAGCTACTAGCTTGGGATTGTGTGTGATTGTTAGTACTATTGGCAGTATAAGTACACCATACATTTTGCTATTGGTAAATATCGATAAATAACTACCTTTGAATAGTTCTAAGAGTTGAAATAATTCTAAATCTTCTATTTTTTAGGCAAATAATGCATCAACAGGTCTATTTATTTTTGCTGGATTATTGTGTCTTACATCAAGCTTGCTCTGTATTGCTCTACCAGAAACTCTTGGTAATTATTTACCTGATAATTTTCAGGACATGAGAAATTTAGGAAAAGTTGAATTGATTAAATCCAATAATATGGATGATGGAGCATCTGAGAGAGAAATTTTGAGAGAAAAACTTTTCTCAGAAACATGGGTTGATGCTGGCAATGGCATAATCGTTAATTTTAATGAAAATAAAATCTAAAGATTTTTTACTCTACTTTTTTTTATATAATTTTATCTTGAATTGCCAGAGTTCATCATATTTTCACTGCATAGTTTTTATCAGTGATAAAATATCAAAAATTTATAGCCATAAAACTTGTAACTGATCATTTATGATCTTCAAATAGTATTAAAATATCAAGAAAAGGCCGTGCTGTTAGAAAAAGTAACGATAAGAACTAGAATTGTAGGATTTATACTTAAAAATAGTTATTTTGTATATATTCGTAATTTTCTTATGTAATATTAAGACTTAGGCAACCAAAGTACTTAATTAGAATAGTTATATATTTTTTAAGTAATATTAATTAATGTTTGTACCTAAGTAAGCATTAAGTTATTCAGAATTAATTTATTTTTTATTAATTTTTAAGGAGTAATTTTAATATAGATTTTTTTATGTACAGTAAAACAATTAGACTTGTTGAAAAAATGATTAATAGTCTAATAAACAGCAAATATTATTCAGTAAATCGAATGGTTCCTATTACATCTTAAAAAATATTGAAATTTAAAAGCAAACTGTTTCCGTACCTCTTAAGGAACTTTAGGTTGTACAATTCCATTATTTTGTGGATTAGTATGCTGTGACGTTTGCTCGGCTGCTGCTTGCAGCAATCTTGTTCTACGTCTTGTGTAATGTTGCCATAGTAAGATTTGTTGATCATCAATAAACTTAGTACATTGTGAATTCACTACTTCACGTCTAAAATGCTCATATTGTAGCAAATCAAGGAAATAAAGACACATTGGATATTTTAAATACTTGGCATATTCAGGTTCTTTCCAATATAACAGATATTTGAGGTAGTTGATAAATGATGAGTCTTTGAAGTAGCCACGTTGTGCCAGAACTGTAAATATTCCAATTTTCATTATTGATTCAGCGATAAATTTAACTACAAGTTATTTTAGAATCATGGTTCAGTTATAATATCTTATTTTTTAATTTTTTTAAATCCTGCATTACTTACAATTCAAGTAGTTAGGGTTTGCAAGACATTGTACAAATTCTAGTTCAACTTGGAAACGTATCCTTTGTTGATCGTCGGTTTCTAGTCCACCTGAAGAATTCCAATAATTAATTTTAAGAATCTCTTTTTTCAAATACTTAATAAAAGGTACAGATATTATATTTGGATTTTTTTACCGTTCATTCCGATGAAAGATGGTTTACGGCCTTTTATGTAATTTGGTGGATCATCCAAACGATTCATATTATTCTTACAGTAAAAAGAAATGTTCTTGATTTTTATATGTTTCCACTGTGATGTTGTTAAAACCATCCATGATATTTGAAAAATTGTCAAATACAATAATTATAATACATTTCCAAGTTTATTTACATTGTTACCCTCGTTAATTGAAGGTTAAGTAATTAAGTTTCAGAAATATTAACATTTATATTATAAAATTAGCTTAATCAACATAATAAATAAAATGAGATTTATAGAAGTAACCTACCGAACATTTTAGTAACTATTCATGATTCATTAATAACTTTTTTATTACAAAAAATTATTTATAATATAATCACACGAATGTCTATCAATAACACAAATATTTTTGTTTTTTTCTCTTCAAGTTGGTATTTTTATACCAACAAAAGTATTTGATGGTAACAACGACATCTACTTTATTTGCGGCAAATTCTGATTATCGACAGAGACAAGAAACGAATTGCAGCCGCCATTTTTACTAATGGCGTAGTTTATTTGTGTTCTAATAGCGTTGTGCGTCTCGGTTGTTTCATAGTCACTGTTTTATGCCGGTTTAATTGATCAAAACAAACAGAAATTCATCGTGACAATTGTCGTGAACTTTTTTGTAACAAATAATTTATAAACTATCACAAAATGAGTCGCCGAAAACGTGCGAAGGTATATATTAAGAATTGTTAGATGAGTTATGATGATTTCAATGTTTTTATGTTTATTAACAGGTTGAATATCGAGAAATGGAGGAAAAATATAATCAAATAGAAGATGAAAATACGTCAGACACATCTGAAAAATCTAAAACAGGACTTGGTACTCCTGAGAAAAAAAATCCATCAGAGTTACAAAAAAATGCAGATGTTTCTGCACCTCCACCTGTACAGTCTACTCCAAAACTCGAAACAAAAGAAGAAGATGATCAAGACAGTGATCATGAAGATCCTCATGGTAAGATAATGGATTGTTTAATATAATTTTTTTCTATTTATACTCATTTCGAGTATATTTTTTTCTCATATAGTGAAAGAGCTTTTAAATGGATTAGAAGGAGCTGCATTTCAAAGCCGTTTGCCTTTTGATAAACTAACATCAACTGAAGCTGCGTGCTTTCCTGATGTTTCATCTGGTCCACCACAAACACAAAAAGTTTTCTTGCACATAAGAAATAGATTGGTAAGGATTTATTAAACTTTTTTTGTGTGTGCTCGTATAATAGTTTCAATGATACGAATTTCTTCAATGTGTTTCAGTTACAATTGTGGCTAGAAAATCCTAAACAACAATTAATTATTGAAAGTGCCTTACCAGCTGTTGAAGCACCTTATAATAGTGATCCTGTACTCACTAGAAGAGTTCATGCTTTTTTAGAACGCCATGGATTTATTAATTTTGGAGTTTTTAAAAGATTAAAACCAATACCTACTAAAAAATTAGGTAAAGTTATAGTTATTGGAGCTGGTATTGCTGGGTTAGCAGCTGCTCAACAAATGCAACAGTTTGGTCTAGAAGTGATAGTATTAGAAGCACGAGTAAGTTGATCTTAACTGTTTATTTTTATCATTTTTTTGCAAGAATATTTTAGAGTAATTGAAAAGTTGATAACTTTAATCGGTTTATTTTAGGATAGAGTTGGAGGAAGAATTGCGACATTTAGAAAATCTTCTTACATAGCAGATTTAGGTGCAATGGTTGTTACGGGACTTGGAGGGAATCCAGTTACGACTTTAAGTAAACAGATTAACATGGAATTGCATAAAATAAGACAAAAATGCCCTCTTTATGAAAGTGATGGTCAAACAGTGAGTGTTTTTTTCAATAGAATATTTATAACAATGTATGAAAAATAGATTAAAAATAGTTATCTCTAATGTTAAATCATCTATAAAATTTTTATATTATTTTAGGTTCCAAAAGACAAAGATGAAATGGTGGAGCGAGAATTTAATCGATTACTTGAAGCCACATCATATCTTTCTCATCAGCTAGACTTTAATTATGTTGGTAGTACAAGTTCCACTGGGCAATCAGGTAATACGAGACCAGTTTCCTTAGGACAAGCTTTAGAGTGGGTAATTAGACTTCAAGAGCAAGGTGTCAAACAACGTCAAGTAGCCCACTTGCGCTCTGTGCTTTCCCTCCAAGGCAGACTTATAGCGAACCAGCATCGAGTAATTTATTTCTCCATATTTACTTAGCCTATATATTTTTCTGTTTTTTTTTTTAAACTAAGTAAAGATTGTAATTAACTATTATCAATTAAATTTTATTACAGATGATTGCTATAAAAGAAAGGTTAACTGAGTTGAATGAATATTATAAAGAAATGATGGCCAACAGATTGGTTGTCCGTGATATTACTCAAGAATTTGTATTTCGTTCGAAACTTCGTGATTTGCATAATGCTTGCAAGGTAGGATAATAAGTTAAGAAATAATTTATGGGATCAAATGATTAATTAACATTTATTTTACTATCTCAGGAGTGGGATCAGCTTGCTGAACAGCAGAAAGAAATAGAAGCAAAGTTGCAAGAGCTAGAAGCTTCTCCTCCAAGGTAGCATAATTATTAAACTTTTTTTTTCTATTTTATTCATTTAACATCATTTATGATGATAATACATCGCTATAACGCTCGTTAAAAAATTAAATTCACAAGGTTGAACGTGATTTTTTCAACCATCAATTAAATTAAAATGATACACTTACCTCTAAATGATATCACGACAATCGATAAAGTCACGTTAATTCCTACAGTCTTAATAATTTACTATAATTAAAGTTATACTGCATTTTAGTGACGTTTATTTATCATCGAAGGATCGGCAAATACTCGACTGGCATTTCGCAAACTTGGAATTTGCCAATGCAACTTCACTATCGAATCTGAGCTTGAAACACTGGGATCAGGATGACGACTTTGAATTTACGGGGAGTCATCTAACTGGTGAGTAATGAAAATGGAATTAAATTAAACGGTTTCAACGATAGTCGCATGTGTGTTAGAAAAAAAGACATTGAGTCTTAATTGAATTGGATATGTGAAATAAATTTCCCGTCTCGTGACGTTAAATTGGAAGGCGTACCGCTAATCGAGCCGCGAAAGGCCACGGTCGAAGGGGCCAGCGACCCTGCATACTGAAGGGTAGTGTAATCCATGTAGAGTATTCGTGTAAGGCAGTATGTACTGGCGCAACATGTATGCGGTACTCTCTCCCGGAGTTCCGGAGAAGATACTGCACTCCGGGGAAGATTGTGTAGATAACGCGTGAATTATTCCCGCGCTGCATCCCTCTTTACAGGTACGCGATACCCTCCTTTCCTTCTCGTCTCTTCCTCTTGCCAGTAGACCGGTGTCTTTCCTCTCTCCCACAATTCCGCGCCCAAGTTGACTTTATCAACCTTATTAAAAACCGATAGGGGGAGATCCTGTGTAGATAGACTCTCTATCCGGTCTCCGATCACGAGGAATACCCTCAGACTTCGTTATATTAACCACTAAAGTTCCTCAGTATATTAACGACCAAACTAATGCACTTGAAAACCGATCCGACTTGCTAGAAATCAATCTCAGTCTGTACACATACTTTCTAACTTTAAATATTAATTCACAAATTATACAGAACACTTTTTTATTGCCTTTTTCCTCATACTTGAATTACTTTTTAATGATGTGAAATTTAAAGATATGCTTGGAATATTTCTTAATTACATTCAAAAATTTTAAATGGCATAAGTGGAATTTTATTAATTGCTAACTAAATTTGTGTACGAATTTTTTACTTTCTTTTACACATTCACAGAATATTTTTGATTATACTCATATAAATACCAGAAAAAAATAATTTGAAATATCGTACATTTTTTTAGATTCAATTTTCTCATAAATTAGATAGTCATTAATGAAAAACAATACTGTACTTGGTGGCTATTAAGTTTAGGAATTTAAAGTTCTTGCAGCTATTCTTAACAGTCGATGACATTCCTTGGGAATGTGATCGGTATGTGATACTGATCTTTATTAGCGAACACCTAGGCAGTACAAAGGGCTTAAAGATGGCTTTTACTTGGTCGACCAAGGCTGATAACGATACAGTACTCTTATATGTTTACGCAATTATTCACTTTTATTTGCCATTCAATTCTTTTTTCTCTACAATTACCAACAGTGTTTGAGAAACTCGGTATATCAATTTAAATAAACTTTGTTACTTCAAGTAAACTCTTTTATTATATTAATTCAACAGACATAAAAAAACGATTTACGAAAAAAAAAATAAAAAGCTATAAAAATGATGGAAAATCGTTATGGGAGGGTAAACAGTAATCCAAAGAAGCGGATCTTGATTGCTGATAATAATATATGCTTTGGAGCAACAGAGACTTTGTTAAAGTAAACACAAAAACATTTGTAATTATGAGGTTAAACTTAGTGTTTAATGATAGTTCTTCGTTGGCACAGACAACTTTGAAAACTGTGACAACTAAGAGAGAGAAAGTATTCAGGTTCCATTTTGCTTGAGTTGGAGTTAAAATTACGAGGACATCGTTGTTGTCTCGGTTTACTGGCTACATTCCGTACACACAAACGTTTATAAAACTCAGCCCTATTTCTTTTTTCTTTTCATCCCCATATTACATACCACTTGGATGGGATGTATGTCAAGTATCTCTTATATAACAAATAGCCTTACTTACTTTTTCTATGTCATTGTTTAGAATATGAATTTTTCTTCATTCTCAGATTTTTTTTTACATAGTAATTGTAGTTTTACAATAGACACAATTTGAGGTCATCGAAATTTTTATTTAAAGAAAAATAAATTATTAAAAAAATATTCTATCATTATGAATTGTTTTTGTTTTTTAGTAAATTATTTTTCAGGTATTTTTTCTTTAATATTTTTAAAGAGGTAAATTTTATTGATCGCAATGCATTTTAGTGTAGTTTAAGACAATGTTAGAAAACTAATATACCCTGAGATTATATCGAAAAGTTAGACAGATATCGCAGCAAGGGGTTAATGCGCCACTACCTACACGGATATATGTATTATCTGTAAATAAAGCAAAGAAATGTTTAAATTCCTTTAAAGAATACGGCTAACTTTCACAGTTTTGGGTTACGAATAATATATCTAGCTAGAAGTTACGATTGATCTTTAACCAGATTCTATTCATAAACTAAACGAATCTTATCTTGATGATGCGTCCCACGCATTCTTGTCTAGCTCTTGTCTCACAGCAGCTCATTGGTGATGGAGTATTTAATAAAAAAAAAGAAACAAATTTTGATTTAAATAGGACATTAAAATAAAAAATCTTTTTTGGAACAATATCGAGATATTAAAATATTTTTTTGGATGAAAATTTTTGAAATTAATGATTACATTTTTAGATTTAGTAAGATGAAATTAATCTTTATCCTGTTACATGATCTTTGTCATTTAGTTTTTTAACCAATCTTCTTCTGTTTAAAAACTGTTTCATGTCACTAGATAAACTGAATAGTTAAAGGGCACTATGAGTCGGTCTATTATAAATAAAAAAAATGGTTTTTTTTTTTTGTAAATTTAATAGTGGGTTTGTTAAATCAGTTGGTGTTGTAATCCAGACGATGTGCAAAGTTAAAATGACTTTTATTTGCACTGATATTTATGCAGATTACATGAGAAGATTGGTCATAAAGTACAATGATCACATTTAAATCTTGAAAGATAATTATTATGCAAGTTCTAATGAATATTTTTTACATTTTCTAATAGTGTCTGCTTTATTAAAGTCCAGACAAGTAACAAACACTATACTATTCAGATGAAATCATTTTTTGTACCTCCTACACAGTGAAGAAAGAGAGTTGTGATTTCACAACTTAGGATGATGTTCACTTTTTTATACATTAAAAATAATAGAATGCAGTTTTAATTTTTATTAAATTTTTTTTGTATAAATAACTGATAATCGAGTCATTTAAGTAATTAATGGTGAATTATGTAGTTAAATATAAGTAGCTTATTTATTTAAATAACTTAATTAAATATTCTCTGTGGACGATAATTTTTTCTTTCAAAATAAAACTGGATTTTCCGATCATATAACTGGTGTAGGGACCTTGAAAGAGGACACCTGATTAATAAGTGTAAGGTCAACTTGGCTATCAGCAAGTTTGCTTTTTTGCTAGAATTTATTTTTGAAATTCTTTCTCATGTCGTTTATAAATTTAGTATAGATATTAAACTCATATAAGGTCAGTTATGCAAATACTTTTAGTGTTTTTTTTTTTTTTTTGAATAATGGCCAAATTTATATTTATTATGTCTAACAATAATTTTGATATCCTTAATTGGGATTTTATCATTGGATTTTTATGAACTTAAAAAATTAAGTTAGTTTTATTTATGTAATGAGATATAGTAAATTTATATTTTGGCACAAATAACGTTTATTTTCATATCAAGACAATATGAATTTTCTTGTTGGCACGTATATTCGTTCCAAGTAGTTTTTATCCTAATTTTTTGGCTGGTGATAAGACAAGGTAGTATCTTTGTTGGCAGGTTTTCTATAGGAGGCTTTTTTTTTAAACAGTATATATTAGTGATACAGGTCGTGATTGTCGGCCAAATAATCGTAGTCAGTGGATAGAAAGCATGTCAGAAAATGCGACATGGCATTTAAGCTGAAATATTTTTGTTTTTATACTGAGTCAAAGTCTTGGCAGTGGAGCGAAGATAACTGCTACCTTCGATATGGAATGTTGTACGAATTTGAAACGTAAGTCTTTCACTCGTGTCTTTCTGTTGTTGCATGACTAAAATGACGAATAAAACGTCATGCCTTTACGACCACCGAGTGATCCTTATCGTGATCTCGGATCGCGTGTTTCACGTTCCATTCTGCTTCGAGTTGATCTAAAGACCGATTGGATAAAAAGCTTCTAAGACTTTTCAATTAAACCCGCAAGCATCAAAATAGTTTTTCTCTCCTATTTTATTTTATTACGGTGTTCTTTTTTTTATTGGAAAAATAAATTCTCAAAAAAAATACACATTTATTAAATAAAAACTTTATTTCTAATAAAAGTTAAGAAATATTGACACAATAACTAAGAAGATTTTCAATTTTATCAAAAGAAGTTTCAAATCTTTTTCCTTCAATTCTTGGCTTTATTTCGAAACAAGATCTCATTTTAATTATATCTGTTTTATTTTCATAGATTTTTTCAGTGATTTTTATATTGACCGGTTTATCATATCTTATCAGTTCAAGAAAGTATAGTCAATGAGTCAAGACCTAGTTGGTATGATACTACTTATGGTTGATGTTTTATAACTAAGAATTCACGTGAGAACTTGGTTGAAACTCGAATATCCTTTTCTCTTTTCCTCCCTCTCTTTCATTCTCCTTCTGGCATTGCGCTGGCCGAGCAAAGATGCCGTTGAGAGTCGGTACTTTCAATTTGTGGATAGTGAGTTTTTGCAACGGTGCAGAGACGGCGGGAGAGACGTCGACTGGTGAACGCGAATGCTGGCTGAGAATGGACGAGGGTTAAAGTAAGAGGGAAAGAAAAATCAAGAATCTTCTTTCGAATGATCTGCACTCAGTTGGAGTATCTTCTCCTTGTGTGCGACGATCGATCTCTCTCATGCCTTATGTATTTCCGTCAGATTTTATTCGTAAACTTGCTAAAAATCGTTCGGTACGGGTTATAACGCGTGCGATCATAAAATTCCAAAGGACGACTTTCGCCCTCAGTTACAGCAACGACATAAAGAAACGCATTGGATCGACACGTTCCAATGGATTTTTCTTGTCTGTTACTTCCAACCGAGCGGCCACATTCTCATTATCCACTTGGTGTGGTGATGCATTTAAATTTTACTCGTTTCGCTGCGTTTTTCCATCACACTGACCAAAGGAATATTATAAGCAAGTTATCCGTAAAAGTCCAAAGC